ACTGGAGGAGATTATGCTAAGTGAAATAAGTCAAGCAGAGAAAGTCAGTTATATGGTTTCACTTATTTGTGAAACATAAGGAATAGCATGGAGGGCATTAGGAGAAGGAAGGGAAAAATGGGGGGGGGAAATTGGCGGGAGAGATGAACCATGAGAGACTATGGACTCTGAGAAACAAACAGGGTTTTAGAGAGGAGGGGGGAGGGGGGATTGGTTAGCCCGGTGATGGGTATTAAGGGGGGCACATACTGCATGGAGTGCTGGGTGTTATACGAAAACAATGGATCATGGATCACCACATCAAAAACCAATGATGTATTGTATGGTGACTAACATAACATAATAATAATAAAAAAAGAAAATCTGTTAATTTCTATACACCAATAATGAAGCAGTAAAAAAAAAAAAAGAAAGAAAAGAAAAAATGAATGTGATATTCTAATTCTTCATCCTTTCTGTCCTTGAGAACCAGGATTCTCAGTGGTTAAAAAAAGAAAAAGAAAGATAAAATTAAAAGATGAATGATAAAAACTTTGCAAACTTGAATTTGAATTATTACTATGAACTCATAAGGTGTTTTATCTTAAAAAAAGTGTATGCACATACATAGATAGTAATGGGGTAAAACTGTTAATTAACAGACAAATCATTTATGTAGAAAATCCCCAAGAATAGACAAAAACACTACTAAAAACTAGTAATTGAATTTATTAGCAAGTTCACAGGATACAAGATCAATAAAAATGGGTTATATTTCTACCAAGAATTACAAATTGAAATTTTTAAAACACTATAATCACATGAAAAACATTAAATACGGGGCGCCTGGGTGGCTCAGTGGTTAAGCATCTGCCTTCGGCTCAGGTTATGGGTTATGATCCCAGGGTTCTGGGATCGAGCCCTGCATCAGGTTCCGTGCCCAGTAGGGAGTCTGCTTCTCCCTCTTCCTCTGCCCCTCCCTCTGCTTGTGTTCTCTCTCTCGCTGTCTCTCTCTCTCTGTCAAATAAATAAAATCTTAAAAAAAAAATTAAATACTTTAGGGATAAATCTAACAAAAGACCTACAAGTTTTTGTGTATTGATGAGATAAAATCTAAAATGAAGAGATACACTTGTGTTCATAGAATGGAAGGCTGATTATTGTTAAGATGTCAGTTTTTTCCAGACTGATCTAGGGAGTCAACACAATGCCAAACAAAATCCCAGCAGGCATTTTTTTTTTTTAAGAAATCAGTAAGATAAGCTTAGAATTTATATGGAAATGCAAAAGACCTAAAATAGCCAAAACACTTTTGAAAAAGAACAAGTTGGAGGACTTCCACTATCTTGTTTCAAGATTTACTATGAGCTACATGTAATCAAGTCATGTGGTATTGGGATAAGAATGGACATATACATCAATAGGACAGAACAGAGTTCAGAAATAAACCCTTACACATACAAGTTTAATTTTTAATCAATTTTTGTCAAAAGTTCCAAGGCAATTCAGTAGAGAAAGGAGTTTCAGCTAACAATATTGGAACTACTGGGCATCTATATACAATAAAATTCATCTCAACCCTTACTTTATACCATATTTTTAAAAATCAGCTTTTAAAATAGATCACAGACCTAAATGTGAAACCTCTAAAACTTCTAGAAGGAAACATATGAGCAAATCTTTGTGTCTTTTGGTTGGCAAAGATTTCTTAAAAAGGACACGAAGCATGAACCATAAAAGAAAAAATTGATAAATTGGACTTCATTAAAATTAAACTTTTCTGTTCTTCAAAGAAAACAACATATGGACTAGAAGGAAATATTTGCAGAGTATATTTGTTAAAGGACTATATCCAGAGTATATAAAGAACCCACAGTTCAATAATAAGAGAGATAATGATCAAAAAGTAGCCAACAATTTCAACACACAACTTCACAAAGAAGAGGTGTAGGGATGGCCAATAAGCATGTGAAACGATACTCAACATTGTTAGTCATTAAGGAAATAAAAAATCACAATGAGATATCACTATATATTTTTTAGAATAGCTAAAAATTTAAAGATTGACCGTTCCAAATGTTGATGAGGATGTGGAACAACTTGTAACTCATACATTTTTGGTAGGGAATGTAAAACAATACAACCACTTTTGAAAAGTTTGGCTGTTTCTAATAAAGTTAAACATAGATCCAGCAATCTTATATCTAGATATTTACCCCAATAATGAAAATATATGTCCACCCACGGCTTGCACAGGAGTATTCATAATAGCCAAAAACCGAAAGCAAGTGCCTTATCAGTTGGTGAATGGATAAGCAAGTTGTGCTGCCTCCTTACAGTAGAATACTACTCAGCATTCTCCCTCTTCTACTCCCCCTGCTTGTGTTCCCTCTCTCGCTGTGTCTCTCTCTGTCAAATAAATCAATAAAAATCTTTAAAAAAAAAAAAAAGAGTACTACCCAGCAGTAAAAAGAAACAATTTGTTAATTAGAATTTCCAGTTCCAGGACAAGTGAATACATACTCTTCCTATTTTTCCTGCTAAGTACAACTAAAACCCCTAGATATTATGCATAAAGCAAACATAAGACAATTCTGAAACATAGACAGAGAAAGGCAGATCAGCTGGGGACCTTGGTACCTGAGAAATGATGTGGTGAATTCCCTGGGTTTTCTTTATATCCTATCCTGTGTGCTAGAGAAGCAGGCAACCTGGAAATACCAATGAGCACCAATGAAAAGCCCCCCAAAAAGCTGGTTTTCTTTAGTCAAACAGGAAAGGGGTTACCTATAGCAAGACAAAACTAGGCAGTAACTGCCCTACTTCAGCCAAAAATGATGGGAAAACTGCACTCTGTCCCCACTTTCTCCAGCAGAGGCTGAGTATGAGCTTAGACTTCCCCCTTGCTCAGCTGTAACAAGGCACACCTCTTGTATCTCCCCACTTTCCTACTGGGGTTGTGTCAGAGAAGGTGAAGTCCTGGGCAGTAGGTAGACTTCCATCCTCCCTGGGCAGTGATAATGCACCTCTCCCCATATGGTATCAGTGGAGGCCTTGGGTGGAGCACTTGTGTAATCTTGCTCAATTATGTCTGTCCCTGGAATTTTATCTTTTTAGGTGGCTTTATAAATAAAACTTTTCTTTAGTTATAATTTCTATATAGTGATTGCATGTTTACTGGAAGGTTACTGATTTCTGTATGCCACTACCACCTCTTGTTTATAATAGTTTTTCAGTTGGTTTTCTTTGACTATAAAGGCATATAGTCTTATAATCTGCAAATAGTGATACATTTGCTTCTTTTCCATTTTTAAACTACTAATTTATTTCTCAGAATTGTGTGCCTTGTATAGTGCTTCCCAATCATTTCACAGCATTGAAAATTGTATTTTTAGTGTATATTAGCATAAATGGGAAATGCTTTGTGAGGCCAGAGGGGACCAGCCCAGGATCTAACTACTCTAGTGTTCTACCAGACTGACCTGAGATGGGTTGAGAAGAAGCCCTACGCCTCTCTAAAACAGTCTTTAAAAAAAAAAAAAAATCATGAACTTGCTTATTTTATTTCTAAACCTTAGTGGGACTACTTCTATAGTGTTTCTCATTAAATTATGCTGGTTTGGGGATTGAAGTAGATATATTTTAGTTTATTAAGGAAGTGTCCAGGTACTCCTCTGATTTATCAATAGATTTTAGTCAAAAATGGTTATTGATTAACAAACATTGCTGAAGCATTGCTGCTGTATGCCAGGCTTTAGAACTAAAACAATGAATAAGGTGAGAGACACTATAGGAAATAATACAAGTCAAAGTAGACTTGAGCTCAGATATCTGTCTACACTACATGTACTAGTTCTGTGATCTTAGGCAAGTCATTTAATTATTTTGAGCCTTAGCTTACTTATCTGTAAAATAGAGCTAATAATAACTTTTAGAGTTGTTATTCTAAGACATGATTGCACACTTGTGCAGTCCAGTAGGGTGAGATAGACATATTACTAAGTAATTGCAAAAAAAAAATGAGGTAGTATGGTAGAGATGGAAAAATGAGCAGTGGCGATATAAAGGAGTATCTGCTCTGCCTAAAGAGGGACTCAGGACAGCTTTACAGAGGTGACAGTATTTAAACTGGGCCTTGGAGGATGAATAGGGGAAGGCACAACACCTGTGAAACTGCTTGATGTATTTAGGAAACTGCCATTTGTTCAGGATAATTAGATGGTAGGTATGGGCAAATGACAGACTGGAGAGGTAGACAGATTGTCGATCACAGAGGGACTATAGTTGTTACCCTGAATATTTTGGGCTTTATTATGTAAGTGACTGGGAGGTGTTGAAGACTATTCAGCCATCAGATTTGCTGGTTGTGAGGTGTGTTAAGCCAATAGTTGAAAGTCTTTAAGCTATTATGTTGGAGGAGAGCCTGAAATAACGCAATGGGACAAATTGAGAGTAGATGACAGATTTGAAGAGTCATAGGTAGTAGAATTAACAGGACCTAGAGGCCATTGGACTATCTCTAGAGAAAGAATAAATAGCAATCCCCAGGGTCTTAGGCTAGGAATCAGAAGCACTCTAAAATTAACAAGGATAAGTTCCTGTACCTTTTTCTATAGAAAAACACAAGTTGTCTTGAGTATAGCTTGTAAGTTTGGTAAGGTACATCACAGACTGATGACATGAGCACCATAGAGGAGGGTCCTATTCTTTCTGTAGGTGTCAATAAAGTAAGAGCTAAAGGAAACCTAACTATAACGATATTAATAGACTTAAAATTAACAAAAGTCTGAAAAAAATTTTAATGTGATTGCAGTGTTGATAAAGAAAAATTTTATGTTTAACATTTTAGTGTTTTTAGGGTTTTTTAAGTGCAATCCTGAATTTGCATTAGTGTTTACATTTGATAACTAAATTTTATTTTTGTGAAAATGATGTTAAGATGAGTAGTCAATCTGAAATAAAATGTATGTACAAATTGTTTAAAAGTGTATTATTTATTCACTATTTTTCTTCTATTCTAGTTACTCTCTCTGGAAATGGAGAAAACGGTAAGGCACCTTAAGTCTCAATTTAAGTAGAATACTTATGGTATCCTAATTGTGACCCACATAGTTTTTATTTAGTGATGACTATATGTGTTTTTGTTCTCAGAAAGAAAATATATGTTTTTAAAGTTTAAGTAATTAAAAGGAGATACAGTATTGTGTTTATTCCTATTCAATATATTTTCATTTGTGTTATTTATATAAATTGAAGTAGCTGTTATTTTGTAAGGCATCTAGTACCCAAACTTCTTTGATATATTTATGTACATATTTATGCCTTGGATATTCTTCAGAATGCTTGATAGTAGTGACTCAAAGATTTTTAATACCAGTTCTAGCTAGGGTTGAGCAGACTTTGTTTCGTGATGTCTAAATTTTATTTATGGTTCTCTTGTTTATATATTTGTTAAAAATAGTACTTTACTACTCACAGACATTTAACAAAATAACCAGACTGTAAATTTGTAAATTGTGTTACTAGTTCATTTTGAAAGGGAATTCTACTTTTTATAATGACTAGTTAATGAGATAATGCCTAGAGGGAAAAATTCATTGCTCAGAATTTCACCAAGCTAAAAGAAAATATTAAGTCTATTGAGATCTAATTTCAAAAACGAAATTTGATTTGAGATATGAAAATTCAGAGGATTTCCAAAATAGTTGGTTAGAAATTATTAATAAATATTTATTCTTATTGGAAATAATTAGGCATTAAGCATGTAAATCTCAAGTTGCCTTTGAATCTGATTTCTCAATTCTAGCCAGGGTTGAGGAGGAATAAATATAGACTCAATCTTGGTAGGCTTGATTTTCTTCCTTTAAATCAAAACTTTTCTATATGTGAAAGCACAGATACAGAAGGCAGAGAACTTCTGAAAGAGTACTTAGGAAAGAACATCTAACTTGTCTAATTATTTCTTGGAGCTATTTTCCCCATGTCTTTCAAAGAGTCTTTTGACAAGGTTGTTTGCCTTTTTGTTTTTTTAAATTCATTTATAGGTGATTTTTGAATCAGACTTTTTGATTTATAGATTCAGATTTTGGGGTTGCTTTTTTTTTTTTTTGCTTTGATTTAATTTGCTTAGTTAACTAAGCTTTTACTTTATTACTTCTTTTTTTTAAGATTTATTTACTTTAGAGAGAGAGAGAGAAAGCACGAGTGGGAGAGGCAGAGGGAGAGGGAGAGAGAATCTCACACAGACTCTGTGCTGAGCACAGAACCTAACACAAGGCTTGATTCCAGGACCCTGAGATAACAACCCAAGCTGAAACCAAGAGTCGGCCTACCAGCTGACTGTGCCAGCCAGGCACCCTGTTTATCTATTACTTCTAACTAATGGTTTATAGCATGTATATGTGATCAGAAGTTTTCTTATTAACAATCACATTATTTCAAATTTATATAAAAGCAGTATTTCCTGTTATCCTTTACATTATAGTTTGCTATTTTCCATTTGTTAAGTACTTATTACATTCCAGGCATGATGCTAAGAGATATATCAGTTTGTTTGTTTTTTTTAACTGAGGGTTAAGATTTTTTAAAGCAGACACCATTTTGTTCTTATATCTATGGAGAGCAGAAATACTCTAAAAATATTTTGGGAGTATATTTTATATGCTGACCTTAGTTGTAAGTAACTAAATGATTAAGAAGTTTAAAGTACCTCAAGGTTATCATTTATCTCAAAGCTATACAGTAGAATACAGATGAGGATTGACAAACTTGACTGAATATGGCGGCCAGGCAAAAATTTTTAAAAGTGAAGTGAGCTAGGTGAAGATAATATTGCAAACTCGGTAAATGGCCTCAGTGTTCATGTAACAGTAGGAAACTGAGCTCCAGTATACTTTTCCAAAGGAAAATCAAATGAAGGAATGATATTGAATCCATTAGGTAGACCATGAGGTTCAACCTGGAGGGAACAGAGATGGTAGAGAATGCAGATTTTGAGAAGCCAAAATTTTCAATGAGGATGATAATCAGTTTTAGTGGACATGAAAAGAAAGCAAATTTGAAGATAGAAGGAAGTTGTGGTAAGGTTTTTGTCTTGGCATCAGATGTTGGCTCTGAAATAGGATGTGACTACTAAGATGATGGGTAAAGTGGAGGAAAATAGACTTCTAGGTATGACATAATGAAAAGAACCTTGGATTTTTATCGAGCAGATATGGGTTTGAATCCTGGCTTTATCATTTACTAAGTGACATTGGGCAGGATATTAAATTCTCTGCACCTCGGTTTTCACATTTGTAAACTGAAAGAATACATTCCAGGACTACAGTGAGGGTTAGAAATAGGGTACACATTATATACCTTCTAATAGGCTTTCAGTAGGTGGAAGTAGTGATTTGAGTAGCTGTGGTCAAATACGGTTAGCAGGAAGTCCCAGTGTTGTATAATGCATTCATCAGTCATGAGTCATGCACATGGAGCTATTTCCCAGGAACATCACAGCCAAGGTGGAGTCGAAACTATGAACAACACATTTACACTGGCCATTGAGATGGACTGGAGGGAAGGAGAGCAGTCGGCTTTTGCAGTGATCCAAATGAGTTAAGCAACAGTTTATGAGCTGTTACACTGGCAGTGAAAATAATGAAAGAGAGGAACTAGAATTTGAGGTGCTTTGTGCTGATTAGCTGTGCGATGTGAGGAGTTACTGGGCCCTGGCTTCCTGTGGGACTCATGGTTCTGTTCTCTTAGACCATATGTGCCCCAGTATAATTGCAAAAGAAAAGGCTGGGTCCAATGAGTTGTTAATTTTTTTTATCATTATTTTATTTAAAAAGAACATTTTTTAAAACCAAAAGTGAAAGGAGAAATAACCTCAGACAAAAGGAAGAATAGTACTTTGAATTGTTCTTTGCAGACCAGTGAAAACGTCTATCATTCCTTAAACTTGGGAAACATGGAAATAGGGAACGTGCAAAAAGAACCAGGTTTTGAGAGGAAAGATTCTTGGATAGTAATAATAATAATAGCCAGTATTGGGGTGCCTGGCTGGCTCAGTCAGTAAAGCGTGTGACTCTTGATCTCAGGATTGTGAGTTTGAACCCCAGTTGGGTGTAGAGATTACTTTTTTTTAAAATGGCCAGTATTTGTTAAGGATTTATTATGTGCCAGATGCTGTTTTAAATGTTTCTCATGTATTAGGTCATCAATATTAAGCAACTAGCTTTAATAAAACAAATTAAGTGCTTTAATTAAAGTCTGAGCAGATTAGAGGGGGAGTATAGTATGAAGAGGTAATGAATTCTAAAAATAATTGAAAAGGCTTATGTGGAAGAAGTAATATTTGATCTGAACTTTAAAAATGAGTAGAATTTCAAACTTTGAAGCTTGTGTCTGCTTTGTTTTCTTCAGTGGATTTGTGGTGCCTCATTCCAAACAGAAAAAGTTAAGCACCTGGTAGATAGTTCTTGCTTCCTATGGAAACTAGTCCTACTTCTTTCAAAAAGAAAAACTGTAGAACACAACAAAAAGCCCTAAATTATATCAGTGATAAGTTAATATTTGGAGATAAAGATGTTAGAATGTTTATACTAATCCACTTGTGAAACAGTTACTGCAGAAATTTTAAATGGGTAAAAATTTTTCGTTAGTCTATGTTGAAAGGAGAATGAAATTTAGTGTAATGTTTCTGGTTAATCCAGGAACTGAGTTTTTCAGATTACTCATTATCCACAATGGTGGGACTTCCTTTATTACTTTGTAATTCCTTGAATTTAATGTTCATAGTGATGGAAGCTGTCTTAAATAATTTTTAAGTCATTCAAAATGTAATTTTTAGGAAGAGCTTGAAATTCAGTGAGTGAAGAGGGTGTTTCAACTTAAATGTTCAGCAGTTTAATAAAATCAAATCTCATCTCAGGCTACAAGTCTTTACTTATAAACCAGGCTGATAACCCTTAAATGCGGGAACTGAATCTGTAATGGTAGGTCATTCAGATAAAGGAGTTTATAAATTTGATGTCTTCAGTAGGTTTGGATTAAGGTATTTATTGGATTAAGCCTCCTGACCCTAAATATTGTGTTTTAATGTAATGCTTTTTCCTGTTTTCACCTGGATTCAATGAAATGTTATTTGTTTTTATTTACCAGGAAAGGCCGTTGTTTACCTTGTGGCTTTCCATCTGTTCTTTGTTATGTTTGTATGGTCCTATTGGATGACAATTTTCACATCTCCCGCTTCCCCCTCCAAAGAGGTAAATTTAATGTTGGTAAATTACCAAATGCTGTAGCTAATTATGGAATTATTTTCCCTGTGTTACCTTTGTTAAAACTTTATTACATAATGCATTTGTTCTGTTTCCGTTCATGAACTTGCTTGGTGACTCCACATTGTGAATGTGAGTCGTCAGCCTGGTCTCAGATACAGCCCACTGACTTAGCACACTAAAAGATTGATCATAGTTTACTTAATACTGGTATTTTTCTGCCATGCTATATAGTCTTAAAGACATACATTTTTTTACTGGACTAAAAAATCTTAGGGGACAGAATTGAGTTAGAAAAGTAGAGTGTATTTTTGGACACCTTAACATATTTTCTCAGGCCTGAACAAATATGCTGCAACTAAAGAAAGTTTTAATTGTGGGAAATAAATTGTCTAGGCTGTTGTTTGTTATACTTTAATATGGCTAGTGTTTCTTCTAATTTGAGGTTCCACTGGGAAAATAATGTGAGTAAATATTTATGTAGAGTAAATTTTAAGACCAGTATGTTTCTCTTGCCTTGACATAGCTGACTGAAATCTAGTATAACTAGATGGCTAAGAATGTACCCTCTGGTGTTAGGATTATCGGAGTTTGATTTTCTGCTCTAACACATTACTTAATGTCTCTGAGCCTCCGTTTTCTTATTGGAAAATGGAGCTAACAATAGTGCCTGTTTCTGTAAGATGTTTGTGAGGATTGAGATTTATTCAGATAAAGCTTTTAACACAGTACCTGCCACATGGTTGGCAATCAAATATTAGATGATGATGATAATTATTTCCACTCATATAAAATTCATCAAAATTTGTTAAAAATTATAGACCATATGTTTAAGATAATATCAACTTCCAATTAACTTTTTATAAAACATATATACAGAAAAGTATATATAAATGTATACCTGATGGATTTTCACAAACCAGACCTTGAGCAACCACCACCAAGTTGAAGAAACAGAACATTACCAGCATCTCATAAGCGTCCTCATGCTCCCTTCCAGCCACGAAACCCACTGTCCTGCCCCCTAATAGCATCAGTTTGTTTTGCCTAGTTTTGCACTTTACATAAATGGAATCATACACTCTTGTGTTTGTGTCTCTGGCTTCTTTCATTAACATTCTGTTTGTATATTCATTCATGTTGTTGCATGTACTTGTGGAGCATTCATTCTCATTATTGTTTAGTATTCAGCTGTGATAAATAATAATTTAATTGCTCTGCTGTTGATGGGCAGGGGCATTTGGGTGGCTTCCAGTGTAAGGCTCTTATAAAGAGGGCTTCTGTAAACATTCTATAGCATATACCTATGTATATACTTACATATATAGAGAGAGAGAAAGAATTCTTTTGGGTAGGTGCCTCGGATTGGAATTGCTGGATCATATGTTGTGTGTACATTCAGCATTAAGTAGAAAATGCCAGTCTTTTGCACATTTTTTTTTCCATTGGATGCTTTTGTTTTAAGGGGTAGTGAAATCATCAATCAAACGTAGTGTTTCTTAAAATATATTCATCAGACATTTGGTAATAATTAGTCATCTCTTAAAGTTATGTTACAAAATGCCATCCATATCTTTTTTTTTTTTATTTTTAAGATTGATTTATTTTTAGAGAGAGAGCACATGTGTGCAAGCGGGAAAAGCAGACTCCCGGTAAACACTGAGCCCGACACAGGGGCTTAGTCTCATGACCCTGAGATCATGACCTGAGCCAAAACCAAGAATCAGTCACTTAACCGACTGAGCCACACAGGCGCCCCACAAACTGCCATCTATATCTTAAGCTCCGAGTTGAAAAGGAGCTGATTTTATTTAATCATTTACTACTAATGATGGCTATTGAAAACATAGCATGTATTGAAGTAAATAGTTCTTGTTATAGGAAATAAAAAATAGAAAAAGAGGGGTGCCTGGCTGGCTCAGTTGTAAGAGAATGTGATTCTTGATCTTGGGGTCATGGATTCAAGCCCCATGTTGGGTGTAGAGATTACTTAAATAAATAAAACTTTAAAAAAGTAGGATAAAAACAATTGGTAATACTTTTGAGAAGCAGTATAGTACAGGGTTGTGAAGGACTCAGACTCTGGCTCCACACTGCCCAGGTTCAACTCCTGCCTCTGCTACTTGCTAGCTGGGTGGCCTTGGAGACTTGCCTTAGCTGTCTGTACCTCAGATCTCTCCTGTAGAATGAAGGTGATAGTAGTACATACCTTATGGGATTGTTGTAAGTATTGAATAAATTAATAATATAGGTAGTTAGTAATAATAATATATACTAAATAGTATATGTAAAGTGCTCAGAAGGATACATAGCACTTAATAAGTGCCATTTAAATGTTATTTATTTTGGTGGTTGTTTGTCATATTGCATCCATTTAGCATTCAGCCGAGGGCTTAAGCCTTTACATCCACTCCATCCTTCATGCTCCCCTATTTCTAGAAGTTCAGCTGAATACGCAGGCCTGTGTCCATTGGCCCTGCTATGGCATGCTCTGCCTTCCCCGTCATAGAACTTACCATCTAGTTTCATAATTGCCTATTGACTTGTATGCACCACCTTATTATCAGTTTTTGAGGGCAGGGATCATTTTTATGGTGTCCTGCACTACATCCCTTTCCCCACTATTTAGCACATAGTGGGTGTTCACTATTGAATGAGTTAATTATTAAATCATCAAGGGCCAGCTAAGTTAAGATGCAGTGACAAGCAAGAAAGAGCAGGAGTTTATGGTTCTCTTTCTAAATAAGCTTCCAGTGTGCTGACTGAGATAGCTCCTTACAATGGTTACAGAGCCGTGAGGTCGCTCCTAAAGTAACTGTATTAACAGGACTCTGTGAGCTGAGAGGTTAGAGCAACACTTGGGAATCAGACCCAGGGAAATTGGTTGAGTCTGAATAGCAAAAACACTACATTTTTAGGAAAGTTAAGTTATAAATATGGGTATTTTTTTCATCCTTTGTCAGCAAGTACTTGGCACCTACTGTTTGTCAGACTGTGCTAGGCTCTGAGAATAAAAAGAACAAGAAAGACATGGTCCTTACATTTTAAAAGGAGAGACAGATGGTAGATAAGTAAACAAACAAAATAATTATAAATTGTGATAAATTTAGATAACTTAGAATAAGAACATGATGATATATTAAAGCATAAACAATGAAAGATACTAGAGGAAAAAGCTACCTTAAGTAGTATGGTCAAAGAAATCTCTGAGGAAGTGTCACTTAAACCAAGACTTTTGTAAGTATCTCTTTCACTAAAGTGTTAGCTTTTTGAAGGAAGAATCTTTGTTGCTTATTGCTGTATCCCCATTGCCTAGATTCAGACCTCGTATGTAACAGGCAGATTGCTAAATACGTGAATGAGTGAATGGTGAGGAGGCAGCATATGAAGAGCTGGCAGGCATCTTCCATCACTAAGTGTCATCTTTAAAAAGAAAATATGGCCCCATCACTTCTCTGGTAATCCTACAGAGGTTGCCAATCAGCTACAAGATAAAGGTCATGCTCATTTGCATGTACACAAGACCCTTCATGAACTAAAATCTTACTAACTTCATCTCCACTGCTTCTTCCTGGAACTCGATAGTCATGTAATGTTTTGCCCTGACTATACCATGCTATATTCACATCTTTGTGCTTTCTGTATGCTGCTCCCTTTACCAAGATTCTCTTTCCCTCCTTGTTTTCCTGGAAGATTCCTGTTTATCTCTCAAAACCCAGCATAGGTACCACTTCTTCCAAGAGTCTTTCATTGACAGTCCCCACCCCCTCCTAAGGGAATTTTTATCATACCTGGTAACATATTGTACTATGCTGATTTGTAAGTTATATTTCTTTATTGACATGGCCAGCATTCCTACTGGACTGTAGAAATGTACTTTTGAAGGCAAGGGCCATATTATTCATCTGTGGATTCCTATTACCTGCGCAGTGCCAAGTTCTTAATTGGTATCTAATACATATTTAAATTGAACCATCTGAACACTGAATTTAAGATGATGGCATTTCATAGTTTGAATTCTGTTTTGTAGTTTTTAATGAAAACTAGATGTATAGTAATAATTTCCAAAGTCTAATCCATTTTAAATTTTGTTCCATTCCTCATCTAAAATTCTGGTGTCTCTTGAGATTTTCATTTTAAGTTTTTCATAATTTATAACATTAGTCCTTAAGGAAAATTAATAATGTTGAGGCCTGGAATAGTACCACAGGCTAGAAATATGATAGCCCAGGGAAATCTGTTCAGATTTTACAAGGGAACTGTAAAATTTGATTGGAGCATCTCCTATCCAAATATACATTTATCATCATACCAAATGATTCTTATACTCTACTGTGAATGCTTCAGAGACACATGTCAGGGAAGAACTTTTAATTCAAACAAGTTACCAGTTAAAATTCTCTTAAAAGAGAATGGGCCATTTTGCAAAGTAGGGAAGTATTTCAGTACTTGAAAGTATTCACGAGGGAGTGGATCTCAGAAACGGCGTCTGAAGATTCCTACCTCCCTGGGAAGTTAGATAAGTGACCTCCAAAGTCTCAGCTTAAGATTATGGGAAACTTTTCTGACCTCTTTCTGTTCAATTTGTCTGTGTTAACTTCTCATGCCTTAGAAGTAAATTTGGGGATTTCTTATGCCATCAAGATTTGGTTGTGGGAACCAGGAAAGGTAATCTAAATAGAGTCTTCTACATCCTAAACTGTGGTGTTTGGTCAGGTTAGAGTAACAGTCTGTAAAAAGCAAGAACAGTTATTTTACATTAGCAATATGGAGGGAAGCATGGTAGAGCAGAACTCAAAAGACTTGTATTTTAATATCAGCTCTGCCAATAATTGTACAATCTTAGAAAATTCGCTGAGCCTCTTGGTATCACTGTTCCCTCAGCCCAGAGCTCTTTCTACTACTATGCCAAACTGTTGCCTTCTTTGTAACAGATTAGGCTGCACTGATAAGCTAATACTATTATGACTGATGATGAAGCATCAAGAGTATGGAAAGTTTTGGTAGTGAGTTAGCAGGTAGATCAAAATACTTGAATATAAAAACTCCATTCATGACTCTTTAGGCCTTTTCAAGCAAAACCTTGCTTTTGCTTGAAAAAAATTGAGAAACAGTACAGTTAAAATACAAGACATGATCAAGAACAAGTCTCAAGCCATTTTTAGTTTAAAAGGAAATGCTGTGAAATAAAGACTGATAGAAACTGAAAGCTTTTGTTTACATGAAATTAGAGGCATAAAACTGAGGGTCCTTGAGATGCTGGGATGACATGAGGAGCAACTATAAACAAGTCCTTTGTAAGGAAAATGCTATTTAAGAAATGAACTGGAGGCTGGCCACACTATGGGAATAAAAACTTAAGAAATGGAAACTAAAAATAGCATAAAGGAATTAACTCTTTGAGAAAAGGAGACTATGCTTGCTTTGACAATCCTTAATAATTTTGCAGAAAGTATTCCTATTGGTTAGCTCTTTAAAAGCTAAAACAGAGTAGTAAAAGAATGACTTGTTGACCTCACTGAAATATTTGGCCAGAAAATGGCTGGACCATGTGCCTATGATTTAACCTCTTAACCCAAAGCCAGTGAATCTTGGACATCCTTCCAAAAATTAAAATTTTCTTGGCACTAATTTTCAAACATCAAAATTTTTACTAATAGAAAATATATATATTAAGCCCTTTTTGGTTGGAGGTATTTAATTTTTTCTGTAAAATACAAAGATGCAAAATTTTCTAGTTAACATTTTTTCCCATCACTAGTATAGAGGGCAAATATTTCTTAATCTGTCAAAGGTATGTAGTTTTGTTAAAATATACTTGATTTAGCTTCTTTAATTTGAAAATAAGTTTTGCCTTCATAGAAGAAAATGTGTTTTCAACAAAGGATGAAACTTTGTTTTTCTGAGCATAATAGTTTATGGGATTAAAAAGAATTAATAGTTATTTCTCCTTTTATAGTTCTACTTGCCCAGTTCTGAAAAGGAACGTTATGAAAAGGAATTCAGCCAAGAAAGACAACAAGAAATTTTGAAAAGAGCAGCAAGGGACTTACCTATCTACACCACATCAGCTTCAAGGAGTAAGAAAAACCAGTCTTAAGCTTTCCTTGCGAAGGAATTTTTAAAATATGGTTAATCCTGCCAAGATATATCTGCATGATTTGACAGTTACATCGATATTGTGATTGCTACAGATAACATCTGCAAAAACAAGATTTTCCTGTGTTCTGTATCTTCTGTGGTATTTCAGATGTACATACATTTGTACATATATTGATACAGATTTTTTAAGGGGCTCACTTCTCTCTGCATTTTTTTTCTAATTCAACCTCATGGCTAAAAATGTCACTTGTTATTCTTAGCAAACCATCATTTAGAAATTCTGGTTTGATTTTGAATATTGTGTGTCATCATGGAGTCATTTTTAAAAAAATCAAGAATGTGCTAACTTAGAATGGAGAGGAGTAAAAGACACAAAGGGGAAGAATCCTGTCAAGTTTTAAACCCAATACTCAAAAGAGCCAAAATTTGAACTCAGGTTTGTCTGGTTACAAAGATGTTGGTATTTCTACTCTCCCACTGCCTATTGACATAGGTGACTCCTGCGGCACCTTCCTTTTCTCAGGGTGACAGTCTTACAATACGAATGAATTTATGAGTGGCCAGTGTAGTCACTTAAGTATAGGAAATGGTTTTAAGTTCTATATTATATACCTCATGAGTTTTGTTCAAATACAGGATAATATAATAGCTAACAATTATTCTGTACTTTACACACACTCATTTAAACTTCACAGCAGCCCTTTGAGGTAGATACTATTGTCTTCATTTTACAGATGAGGAGACTGAGACACAGAGAGGTTTATAACTTGTTTGAAGCCATATGTAGAAAAATGGATTTAAATCTGGGTGCTCTGGCTCTAGAACCCACTATGCTGTTCAGCTCCGAGGGGAAATAAGAGGAGCTTTACCTTTGTATAGTTATGTGCAAGTCGTGGCTAAGGAATGTAACTAAGTTTGTACAAGATTTTAGGAGGGGATATTTGGCTGACTTAAATTTTTCATGCATTTAATACTATTCTTTTTGCATGACTAATATATTGCTGTACATAACAAAAACATGAATTTCAAACCAGACCCAAGCTTTTCCAGTACTAGGGTAGTGAAAGTCACTAACTTTCTAAGTTCTTGTTTCCTTATTTTATTTTTTATTTTATTGGTTTTTTGGTTTTGTTTTGTTTTTTGAGAGAGAGTGTGCAAGTGGTGGGGGGCAGACGGAGAGCAATAGAGAGAATCTTAAGCAGTCTCCATGCCTGGTGTGGAGCCTAGTGTGGGCTCAATCTCACAACCCTGAAATCATAACCTAAGCCAAAATCAAGAGTCAGATGCCTAACCGACTGAGGCCCCCAGGTGCCCCTTTGTTTCCTTATTTTAAAATGAAGATAAGAATATCTACATCTTTGGGTTAGTGGAAATATTAAATGAGATACATGAATGAGATATATACATTTAGTGTAGATCTTGGTATTAATAATAAATTTTCAGTAAATGGTTAGCTAATATAAAATAATCCTTTTTTATATTCAATTATGAAAAGTCTGATTTATAATAATTATTTCTACTTACAGTTCTGTAGATTAGATGTTCTTAACCCAAAGTCCAAGACTTCAGAGAATTTATGAATTCTGAGATGGTATGCAAAGTTGTGGGTACATGTAGTGTTCAAAATACCCCATTCATACCAAGATAATCTGATTTTCAGAGCAGTATGTGTGGCCTGAAGAGTTAATAGCCACTGATGTAACATCTTTACACTAAGGCTTTCCTCTACTCTGAATAATACCCTTCATCTATTCAATATTATACCAGAATTATGCTAAATACTTTACTAGTGATTATTTAATCCTCAGAACAACTCTGAGGGAGGTGCTGCACTTGTCTTCATTTTAGAGATGAAGAAATGAGGCACAAAGTAGGTGTCCAAAGTCCCCGAGTAATAAGATCTGGGATTTATAACTTACCTTCTGACTACAGGCAGAGTCCCTGCTCTTGAGCACCATTTTATACTGCAATTCTATTGCTTAGAATTCCAAACTTTGGGAGTTTTTATCTTTTTTCTTATTATAGAAATAATATGCATTCATTCTTTAAAAAACAAAATTACAGAAATACATATTATAGAAAGTAGACTTTTCATAGAGCAGAGACGAGTGAAAGTGATGGAGCTGCCTCCACACGGAGGAGAGGTGGGGGGCTTTTCACCCAGTTCCTTTTTGGGCTTTTTTGAACCATGTGGAGAGATTATTAGCTATTCAGGAAACAAAATGGGTCTTTCTAGACCTTCTCCCTCCACAGTGTGGATCCAATTGACATCTCTCTCTAGCTTTGTCCCACACTGTTTCCTTGCATCACCTCTGTGCTAAAAGCACTCTTGTCTTTCCCCACCTTTTTTATTCTTTTTCTCTGCTTAGAACAATTATTTTTTCCTCTCTAAATCCAGTTTAAAGTTTTAATTCAATGTCTGCTTCTTTTCACCCATTTCTATTCACTTGAGCAAGAAGTGATTTTTATTTTTTTAAAGATTTATTGTGCTCGCTTCGGCAGCACATATACTAAAATTGCAATATTTTTTTAAAGATTGATTTATTTACTTGAGAGAGAGAGAGCGCGCGGGAGCATGCGTGCATGCATACGGTTGGGGGGGAGGGGCAAAGGGAGAGGGAGACAAGCAGACTCCCCACTGAGGGGGAAGCCTGACATGAGGCTCCATCCCAGGACCCTGAGCTCATGACCTGAGCCAAAATCAGGAGTCAGTCACTTTAACTGACTGAGCCACCCAGGCGCCCCAAGAAGTGATTTTTAAAGTCTTCTCTGAACTTCTCAAATTCTTACCTTGTAGGTCACAAATCACTGCCTCATAGTTATTTCTGTTTATGTCACTTACTCGACCTTATTCTAAGACTCTGGCAGTCAGGAATTTTTCCCATGGTCTCTAACAAAGTGTCTTGATTAAATAGGCCCTCAGTAGATATTTGTTGAATGAACCTCTTCCTGGGTATTCTCCTTATTGGCTGTTTATTCACTTTTTGAATGTCATTCTCACGCAGAGGCCATGTTAATCTTATCTGTATTGTGCCAGTTTTAGTATATGTGCTGTCAAAATGAGCACTGTTTATGCACTTTTAAATCTCCCTAGTTTTCTCTCTTTCACTGATTTTCCCCATCATAGTCTGACTTTGTATTTTATCAGAAATAATTTTTTTAAAGATTTTATTTATTTATTTGACAGAGAGAGAGAGCACAAGCAGGGGGAGTGGCAGGCAGAGGGAGAAGCAGGTTCCCCACAGAGCAGGGAGCCCAATGTGGGACTCGATCCTAGCACCCCGGGATCATGACCTGAGCTGAAGGCAGACACTTAACCGACTGAGCCACCCAGGCGCCCCGAAATAGTAATTATTATTATCATCCTAGTAACACCTGCTTTATTGAGAATCTGATATGTTCCAGGAGATTTATATTTAATCTGCACAATAGTCCTTTACACTTGGTATTATTTGCACGTACAGAAGAGGCAATTGCGGCTCATGGAAAGTAAGTTACTGACGCAAGGTCACAAGCTAGTAAGTGGGAGAGCTAGCATCTGACCTAACTGGTGACAGAGTCCCTGCTGCCAGTGCACCTTTACAAACTGGCTTTTCCAGAGCATATCAGTTTCCTCTTGGTATGTGTGTTCTCATCCTTTTTTTGTTTTTTTTTTAAGACTTATTTATTTATTTGAGAGAGAAAGAGTGCGGGGGTGGGGGTTAGAGGGAGAGAGAGACTTTAACAGACTGAGCTGAGCGTGGAGCCTGACACGGGGTTCTATCCCACAACCCTGAGATCAGGGTTGAAACCAAGAATCGGAAGCCTACCTGACTGTGCCACCCAGGCGCCCCTTGTCCTTTGTTATATTTGCATGAAGATTACTGACCTTTTTCTTCTCTTCTCCCCCAGTTTGCTCCTATAACACTTGCGTCTCCACTTAAAAAATCACAGCCAGTTTTTTCCCTTTGCTCTCAGGTATATGTCAAAGTATATCTCTCTCAAAAACAACAACAGTTTGGTTCAGATGCTGTTCTAACCGCCATTATATTTTCTCTTCCCTTTGAGTTAGATTCTCTTATAAGTTGTCTGCACCCAAGTCCTCTTTTCCTTCCCAGCTAATACCAGACAACTGGCTTCCATTATCCCTACCCAAGTTCAGTGACTTTTGTCATTCTGGTTTCTTGAAAAGCTTTCTTCTTTGTGCTTTTCTGTTCTAGTTCTGTTTCTTAATCCTTGAATGATTATTCTTCCTCCTAAATTTTTTTTAATTTTTCTTAACCTCACAAGGGTGCCTTGCCCTTATTCTTTTCATACTGTTCCTTCGGCTTTTGTTTTCACCTCTGGAATTCTGACACTAGGATATTGTGATTATTAGTTTATTGTGTCTCAGTTTGTTTTCTTTAGTAGTTTTCAGGAATGAGTTCACTTTTCTGAATATGAATTAAAACAGATTCAAGGAGGGCGCCTGGGTGGCTCAGTTGGTTAAGCAACTGCCTTCGGCTCAGGTCATGATCCTGGAGTCCCTGGATCAAGTCCCGCATCAAGTCCCGCATCGGGCTCCCTGCTCGGCGGGGAGTCTGCTTCTCCCTCTGACCCTCCCCCCTCTCATGTATTCTCTCTCATTCTCGCTCTCTCAAATGAATAAATAAATCTTTAAAAAAAAAAAAAACAGATTCAAGGATATTGTCACACTAGCGCTCATTTGCATTCCAGACCCTTTCTTGTATGTGAGGCAAAGGGGTGGAGTTGCAGCTGCACACCAGGATCACTTATCTAGAAGCCTACAGTCTAGCTGCACGAGGGCTGCAGCATTCTTCCTGATGTTTCAGAGGGAAGAACCTGCAGACCTCTCCCCCAGAGCACCCTGTAGCCATTATTCAAGGATTCATCCCTCTTGGCATGTGTCTACCCATTCAGCATCTCCAGCTTGGTCATTTTCTAGGTTAGTTGCACTGATATGTCTGTTTTCTACGTGTATCCATGGGACTGGGTGAGCTTAGAGTCCTCCTACTTCATCACCTTCCTGGCTCCCACCAGAATAGCTGTCCTTGAGTGACCTATTATCCAAACCTACAAACCCAAATAAAACTGGATTCATCAGTTCAAAATTTAATACCATCAAGCAATATTTGTCACATGGTAGAAACTCTAAATTTTGTTGAATGAATGAGAGAATGAATAAATGAAAAACATCCTGCCCCACTCTCCCTGCTTCCCCCAGACTGAGCTTATTTCTGCCGTTGGCAGCCTTGTTCATTTCAGCACCCAAGACAAGAAACTGAAGTTTGCCAATGGCTCCTTTTTCCTCAGTTCTTCTGTCTACTCCGTCATCAGGATCCTACAAAAGTCTTCCTCAAAGGTCTGTTCAGTTTGGTCTCATCTCAGGGCAAAATTCTCATCTCAGAATTTTGAGTGGAAGTATAGAGGAAAAAGAATATAAGATACTCCTGATCCTCATCTTACCACTAATTCAGCTATATATAGCTTTGGGCAAATTACTTTCTCTTGATATTAGGGTGTTTTTCATCTGTAGAATGGAGATATCAACTAGGAGATTTCTACTGTCCTTTATAGCTTTACTTTTTCTATGTTGTATGGTTTTATTTCCCTCATGTCCAACCCAGGTGAGGTGTTATAGAACACACCCTCAGTAAACTATAGCTTATTCTTTTAGGTGGATATTTATATACATTCCCTTCATCTTAAAGATATTTTTGTTGAAATAACAAAAGTAATACATGCCATGATTTAAAAAAAAATTTTTTTTTAGGGCACCAGATGAAAAGTGAGGGGCACCTGGGTGGCTCAGTTAAGCATCCAACTCTTGATCTCAGGGTCTGACTCTTGATCTCAGCTCAGGTCTTGATCTCAGGGTCATCAGTTCAAGCCCTGCTTTGCGCTCCATGCTGGGCTTGGAGCCTACAAGAAAAAAAGAAAGAAAAGTGAGTTTACCCTTCACCCCAGCACTACTCTCTGGGGGCACCCTGTATATCTTTGCAGGAATTTTTTATACTTGGCAGAGTATTACATAACTTATGTACAATTAATTAATATATTTTAACAACTAGAGTAAACAGATTTTAACCAATACAAATTTGGTTACCTGGATAGTGCCTTTTAGCAGGTATAACTTACAACATTACTTCAAAATAACACTTTGTCTCTCTTATATGTTAATTCACATCTGGAAGGTGGATGCATTTTATTGGGATATGTAAAGAAAAAAAATATGTATTCTTATTCCCCTCAGACATGTGAAACATGCTACATATCCAGACTGTTCAACAATTTGCTTTTTTTCCATGTGATATATTTGCATTTTTCCAACTTAGGGTACATGTGTATTTTGTATGGAAAATTCTTGTTAAAGTTTACATAGTATTCCACTGTATGGATATATCAAAATGCTTTGCCATTTGGATAATTCAAGTTATTCATAGTATTTTGTTATTAAAAACAATGCTGTAGTGAACACATCTATAGAATTTTCTAGAAGTAGAAATGCTGAGTCAGAGAACATATACATCTTAAATTTTTATTGATACTGCCAAATTTCCTTCCAAATAGATTGTAATACATGACATGATTCATGCACTTTTTAGAGGGTATACTTAATTTAAATTTTTATTTGAACGTATTTTCTACACAATTACTATGTTTGTTAGGATCACAAGTAACAGGCAACAGCTTCAGCTTTTTAACTCCTTTCACCCCAAAAAGCTACCAAAAAATATGAAATGGTGGGTATTTCCTGTATGTGAAGGGCAGGGCTACAAGAAAGAACTGGAACCCATAATTGGAAAACCAAAACTGGGACCCTGTGCAGCTTATTTCTTCTTGTTTCTGTGTCTCTCTTTCATTTTTAACACTATCTCCCTGCAAACAAGTTTTTATTTTTTATCCCGTTCACATGGCAAAATATCACCATCACATGTTACCCAGTTGCGGCAGTATGCAGCCATAACTCATTCTCAGTCCCAGTGCTGAATCCATAGGAGAGAGAGCATGAACTAGAAGCAGGGAGGGTGGTCTGAACTCATTTCCCAGAGAAGGAGAGAGTGGCTTATCAATCAAGCAGATACCTCCAAAGAAGCCATTTACAAAATCAAGTAGAGTGTTTGCCATTTAAGTGCTCTAAATCTATAAATGTTTCAACTATTTGTGAAAGATCAGTAGTAATTTGCCTTGTTGCCAAGTCAGTACAGTTTGTTTGGTTTAGAGGCCATCATATAGAGAACAATTAGCGTCTAACTATAATGTTATTATTCTCTATTCATCCATAATAATGGCTTTTAAGGTACTTTTTGATTTGTGAAGTCTTGGGACATTTCCCTCGTGAATCTCAAAGATCTATTTGTCACTTATTTAAATTTCAAAAACCGAAACTTAAGGTTCTGTACGATATACAGACTCTGATGGAACTCTTATTCCAGTGGACTTCTTCTCTTGAATTTTTTTTTAATCAGAGTACTTGAGCTGAAAACAAGTCTTACTTGATCTGATTTCTTATTAATCTCTGACGTCATCTCTGACCTCCTTTTCACCCTGTTCCAGGCACACCACACCCTTCCCTATTCTTTAAACAAACTAAGCATGCTCCCACCTCAAGGCCTGTCCTCTGCTTAGAATCCTGTTTTTCCCAGTGTGACTTAGTAACCCCCTTCCTTCAATTTCAGTTTTCTCAAATGTCTCTGAAATTACAGTATACAATATCCCAATTCCCCCTCCCTGCTTTATTTTTCTTATTAGCACGTACCACTAATATACTATTTATTTTGTTAACTTATTTAGTACTCCCCATCTTCTCCAAAAGAATATAAGTTCCATGAAGGCAGGGATTTAAGCCTAGGACAGTATCTGGCACCTAATAGGTGCTCATGTTTTGAATGAACATATAAATTGGGCAGCAGTAACATATGTTAGAATTGAGTGGGAAGAAGTTCAGGGTTGTTTGTTTTTAAAAATGTTGTTTCGATTTTGCTATTTGGGATAGGGATGGGAGATAAAAGGTTGTGGTTTTGTTTTTCTTGAAAAAGCTATTTTATAATGTTAAAAACAAAATCCCACAGGGTGCCTTAAAAAGTTTAAGCACATTCATTTTGGGATATTTTAGTATAGACAATGTATTATAGTAGGAAAAAAAGCTTGAATCGGGACTTAGTAAATCTGAGTTATGCTACTACCTGACTAGGTGTTTGACCTTGTGCAAGTCACTTACTTGCTATAGATCTCCTTTTCCATCTGAAAATTGCTGGGCACTGTTCTATTTCTGAGGTTTCCTTCTACCTCTTGACATTTTGATTTCAGAAGCTCTCTAATGCATTTTGGTATTATTTTAAAATTATTAGTTATCAATTTCACAGAATTATTTGTAAAAGAAATGAAAGTAACTTATATAGTCAAATTAACTAAGCTTATACATCCTTCAACAATTTCCTTTTAATTCTTAAATATAGCCATCAGGTATTGTGAAAGATGTCAGTTGATTAAACCTGACCGGGCACATCACTGCTCAGCATGTGACATGTAAGTATTACTTGTTTGTTTCTATTTAACCCTAGCACTGGAAATTGGTGACAGGGGAATGGAAGGGGAAGGAATATTTCATATGCTTTATACTTAGCAAGAACACTGTATCCTCTCCCTTTATTTGCTATGTATTCTGGGCTAACAAAAATATTTATGTAAGCTAGAATATACTTTGAAGTAATCTTGATTAACAGTTCCTATAATAGTTGTTAAAATATTCTTCCTATGCTTATGCTTAATTTAATATTGATGAGCAAGTAAGTAATAACCCCCTTGAGAAGGATAACTTTATTTCCTGGATTAAAAAGACTCACTGAAAAAAAAAAAAAGACTATCATGACAATTTTCTTATTTTTACTGTTAATATTAAAACCTAACAAACCACAAAAATATTGTTTTCAATTACCATCTGTGACATTGTTCCCAGAAAATTTTGATTCTGTGTGTGTGTGTGTGTGTGTGTGCGTGCCCTTGTGAGAATGTAGTGTGTTGAAGGAAACATCCATAGTTTGGGAATCTCTACTAGTCCTTGAACTTTAGTTAGGCTGTTTAACATCCTGGGTATTAGTTTATTCATTTCCTATATTGCAGCAGTCGCCTCTTATCTGCCTGGGGATCTATTCCAAGACCCCCAGTGGATGCCCGAAACTAGATAATACCAAACCCTACATATACTATACATACACCTATGATAAGGTTTAGTTTATAAATTAGGCACAGTAAGAGATTAATAACAATAGCTAATAATAAAATGGAACAATTATAGCAATATACTGTAATAAAAGTTATGTGAATGTGGTCTCTCTAAATGCATTCTACTGTACTTACCCTTATTGTGATGAGATGAAGGGAGGTGAATGAGGTAGGCACTGTGACATAGCATTAGGCTACCACTGACCTTCTGAAGTATGTCAGAAGGAGGATCATCTGCTTCTAGACCTCGGTGACTGTGGGTAGCTGAAACCAGGGGAAGCTGGATATGGGGGTGACTATGGATAAGGGGGACTGCTGTATTTGAGATGTTCTATAGTCTAACTTTATACAAATCTAGATTGCATGTATTGGTGATGAGGCAAATTTGGAGGGGTTTTTTAATTATAAAAGTACAGTGGTGCTTATGCATGGAATAAAATTTTGTAAATTATATGGAAAAAATAACCATCTATAAGCCTATCATTGTTAATATTTTAACATATTTGCTCCTAAAGTTTTATTTTTATGTGTTGTGTGTAGTTAAAATAGTATAGGGATTTCTGTATTTCATTTTCTCTCCCTCAGTAATTTGTAAGCTGGACCTATCTAATTTACCTAGTGCTATATGTACTATATCATATTAAAATGTCATTTGGTATGGCTCAAGGCATTTGGCTATGCTCAGCTAAATTCCCAGTATTAAAAATCATCTCTTAACTATAAAAGGCCTTGTGGAAATGCCAGAACTTTTCTCTAACCTAATGTTTACTGGGTTAGTTTTTCTTTATTTTTTTAGAGAGGGAGCAGGGAAGAGAGAGAGAGAGGCAGAGGGGGAGGGAGAGAGAGAATCTTAAGCAGGCTCCACCCCCAGCATGGAACCCAATGCAGGGCTCAGTCTCACAGCCCTGAGATCATGACTTGAACTGAAGTCAAGAGTCGCACACTTAACCCACTGAGCTACCCAGGCACCCCTCGGTCAGTTTTTCTAAGATATTATTTGTAAAGGTAAAAATTTAAGCCAAAGAAAGAGAAAACTATCAGAAATTAAAATTAGGGGAATTTTTATGCAAGGATTCTCTTATGTTTATTTGTTTTTTAGATGTATTCTTAAGATGGATCATCACTGTCCTTGGTATGTATAAAAAAGAGGAAATCACATTGGGGGTGGAGAGGTGGGAAGGAGAGAATTGGAGGTAAATTACCACAGCATTCCTAAATTTTGAAGGTCAGTTCAATTACTCGATTACTCAAGGTTGAATTGGTCCTACTTATATGCATATTTATGTATGTACATGTTTATATTGTGTATTCCTTTAAATATATACTCTGATGTTAGTAACCCAAGTAAGTATATATTAAGAATTAACATTAAAATTCCAAATTCCTCATAGAATTTATTAAAAACACACATCCACAATTAAGATACTGCTCCCTACTTCCCAAATGGCCCATTTCCAAGTAATAATAGTTAAGTTTTTTATCTGCCATATATATTATTATTGTTTTTATTATTGTTAAAAAATAACATTAAAACTTACCATCTTAACCATTTCTAAGTGTACAGTTCAGTAGTATTAAATATGTTCATATTGTGTAACCAATCCTCAGAACTTTTTCATCTTGCAAAACTAAAATTTTACACCCATCACCGCCCCCCTAACCCCTGGCAAACACCATTCTGTTTTTTGTTTCTGAGAGTTTGTGATTTGTCTTATTTTTACAGTGTGACTTTCTTCATTCTTCTAGGGTGAATAACTGTGTGGGATTTTCTAATTACAAATTCTTCCTGCTGTTTTTATTGTATTCCTTGTTATATTGCCTTTTCGTGGCTACAACAGTTTTACAGTACTTTATAAAATTTTGGACGGTAAGTCTTTTTTCTATCTTAAAACATATACTTAAAACTTTTTAAGATGCTATATATTCATAAAGAATTCCTTCATTCTTTATTATAAGTAGATGTACTTTTTTTTTTTAATTTTTTTTTTTTAAAGATTTTATTTATTTATTTGAGAGAGAGAATGAGATAGAGCGAGCATGAGGCGGGGAGGGTCAGAGGGAGAAGCAGACTCCCTGCCGAGCAGGGAGCCCGATGCGGGACTCGATCCCAGGACTGCAGAATCATGACCTGAGCCGAAGGCAGTCGCTTAACCAACTGAGCCACCCAGGCGCCCTATAAGTAGATGTACTTTATTTCAATTTTACTAGGTAGAATTTGATCAGAAAGCAGATGGGATTACAATTTACCTTCATATGTTTATTTGCAAATAAATGGATACTAAATAGGATATAGTGAACTTTTTTTGGTGAGCCAAACTATTTTCAGCAATATTCTAACAATAGACCTATCAATTTTAGGGAAGTAATTGCTTTTTACTTGAGTTGAAGAGACTTACTGCAGTTTTACAGTGATAAAAATGAAATTGCCAACACCCCAAATAACCACTAATCTGGTTCCTGCCTCTATAGATGTTAATCCTTTTTGTCATAAGTTGTAAATGTTTTTTTCCACACTTTCAATTTATATCTTAAAACCCTGTTTTCTTTAATTTTTATCAAATCAAAGTTTTTTATTTTTAAAGCAGTATTTTTATGATTTCTTTTTTTTAAGATTTTATTTATTTATTGTAGAGAGAGTGCGTGCGTTGCTTGCACAGGAGTGGGGGCGGGGGGAGGGAAAGGGACAAGGAGACTCTTTGCTGAGCGCGAGCCCTACAGAAGGCTCAAACTCATGACCCTGGGACCCTAAGATCGTGACCCCAGCCAAAATCAAGAGTCAGATGCCCAACCAACTGAGCCACCCAGGAGCCGCTAAAGTACTGCTTTTAAATAAATAATCAGAAAATCAGAAATAATAGGGGTGCCTGGGTGGCTCAGTCAGTTAACTGTCTGCCTCTGGCTCAGGTCATGATCCCAGGGTCCTGGGATAAAGCCCTGCATCTGGCTCCCTGCTCAGTGGGGAACCTGCTACTCCCTCTTCCTCTGCCCTCCCCCCCCCAGTGTACACTCTCTCTCTCTGCACTCTCTCAAATTAATTAATAAAATCTTTTAAAAATAAAATAAAAAGGGGCGCCTGGGTGGCTCAGATGGTTAAGCGTCTGCCTTCGGCTCAGGTCATGATCTCAGGGTCCTGGGATCGAGTCCCGCATCGGGCTCCCTGCTCCTTGGGAGCCTGCTTCTCCCTCTGCCTTTCTCTCTTGCTCTGTCTCTCATAAATAAAAATTTAAAAAAATCTTAAAAAAAAAAGGGGGGGGGGCGCCTGGGTGGCTCAGTCATTAAGCATCTGCCTTTGGCTCAGGTCATGATCCCAGGGTCCTGGGATCGAGCCCCACATTGGGCTCCCTGCTCCGTGGGAAGCCTGCTTCTCCCTCTCCCACTCCCCCTGCTTCTGTTCCTGCTCTCACTCTCTCTCTGTCAAATAAATAAATAAAATCTTAAAAATAAAATTAAATAAAATTAAATAAAAAAATAAAAGCAGTACTTTTCATTTATGATTTCTGGCTTTAGTCTATTCACTGTATATTTACACAACATTCACCCAGGTTCTCCTTTGGTATTTTAGTTGTTTTTGTCTTCACATTTAAATCTTTGATTTTGAAGAAGGCATTATTGTAGTCAAAAAGTACATTGTATTTACTCTTCCTAAAAATCCTGTTAAGAAGTTTTAAAATGTAGGTTTTATAATTGAACCGTTCAGGTGTGGTGAAGCCAGCAGATCAGGAGATGATTTCTATTGAAAAGATAGTTTGTTGCTCACAGTTTCTGAGGGAAGGGGCATACCACACCATGCAGGGCCACACAGGGAAGCACCAGGCAGGGTAACAAGATTTAGGTTAGCCCGTTTGCATAATATCTGTGGTCTCTGGTCATAAGGGTTGTCCCTGGTTGTCTGTGTGTATCCTTGGAATGGTTATGGCAGGAAAGTTTTGCCTCCTGGAGTATAATAGTCCAATAGAGGAAGTGATATGGAGTATGAACTATGGTTGGTTAGTTTGTGTATGAGAGGTTTATTCCTTGCTATCACTTAAGAACTGGTTAGCTGTGGAGAGAGGCGGTCTCTCTTCAGTCAGCAAGGCCTCAGATGCCAAAGCATCAAGAATACAGAAAATAAGGGGGGCCTGAGTGGCTCAATCAGTTAAGCATCCAACTTTTGATTTTGTCTCAGGTCATGATCTCAGGGTTGTGAGATCGAGCCCCGTGTTGGGCTCCACACTGGGCATGGAGCCTGCTTAAGATTCTGTCTCCCTCTCCCTGTGCCTCTTTCCCCCCACCACCCCGCCACTCACTCACTCTCTCTCTCTCAAAAATAAAAAGAAAAAAGAAAACAAAAAATAAGAAAATACAGTTATTGCAGAAGGAGCTATTATTTTCAATAATTTTCAACGTTGAAAACTGAGGTTAGAGGAGTTAGGAAACTAGCCAGAATTTGAACATAGATATCTCTATTTCAGCATCCAAATACTTTTCACTGTGAGTTGCTATTCATAGTCATACTTGAGAATTACACAATTAAAGCCTCAAGTCATCAAGTACAGTTATTTTTCCAAGAAATATCTAATACATTTTAGAAGGACTTTCACTAAGACATTGTTGAATTTTTTAAACTTTGGGTATTTAAAACCCAGGGTATGCTAGTATTTACAGTTCCTTTGTGTGTTCCTTTATTAGAAAAGAGCACCCCAGTTCTGCGTAGTCTCAGCCCAGTGAATTTTGAGTTCTGTTGTTCCCCTAGTTCTAAGCATCTTTGTTCAGTTTACAACCTACTTAACCCTACTCAGTGGCCCTATTTAAATGAAGAGGATTCAGTGCCACATGAATAAAGTCTAAATTATAGAATTTCACATTTCTTCTCCAGAAACTTCAGGAGTGTTTGCATATAATGATTTATTAATTAAAGAATAAATATTTTGGGGGGTGACTGGGTGGCTCTTGATTTCAGCTCAAATCATGATCTCACGGTCATCAGATTGAGCCCTGAGTTGGGCTCCATGCTGAACGTTTCCGGAACCTGCTTGAGATTCTCTCTCCCTTTCCCTCTGCCCCTCCCCCACTCATGTGCATGCTTTCTATCTCTAAAAAAAAATGTTAAAACTTTTTTCAAACTTGTCATGAGTCAGGAAAGACTAGTAAACTTAAATCTATCTTTTTCTTCATTTAACAAATATTTATTTAGTACCTACTATGTGCTAGGCAGTGTTCTAGGCACTTTGGATATATCACTGAACAAAACAGAGTCCTGTTTTTATAGAACTTACTTTTAAGAAGAGGATGGCATATAAGCGTAATAAATAAGTAAATCCTATTGTATAGTAAACACTATGAAAAAAAGTAAAAGTAGAGCAGGGTAAGGGATGTGGCAAGTGTGTGTGGGGTGAGTATGACAGGGACAGATAGAAGTGTTAAAGAGAGTGATCAGGGTAGACCTACTCGGTAAGACAATCAGATCTGAGCAAAGACTTGAAGGAAGTTAGTGGACACATGGGAGCACCTAGATATATAGAGCAAATATTAACAGACCTAAAGAGAGAAGTAGAGAGCAATACAATAATAGTAGAGACTTTAATACCCCACTTTCATCAATGGATAGGTCATCCAGACAGAAAATCAATAAGGAAGATTGGCATTAAAATGACACATTAGACCAGGTGGACTTACCAGACATAAAGAACACTCCATCCAAAAGAAACAGAAAACACAATGATATAAAACCAGAAATCAATTACAAAAAAGAAAACTGGTAAACTCACAAATAAGAATGATCTAAAGTAACCTAACTTCACCTCTCAAGGAACTAGAAAAAGAACATACAAGCCAAAGTTAGTACAAGGGGGAAAATAACAAATCAGAGTGGAAATAAATAGAGACTAAAAAGACAATAGAAAAGATCAGTGAAAGAGCTGGGTTTTTTTTTAAAGATAAACAAAATAGTCAAACATTTACCTAGACTCACCAAGAAAGAAAGAGGACTCAAATAAAATCAGAAATGAAAGAGAAAACATTGTATGTGATACCACAGAAATACAAAGGATCATAAGAGATTACTATGAACAATGATACACCAGCAAATTGGACAACTTAGCAGAAATGGATACTTTCCTAGAAAATACAACCTACCAAGACTGAATCATGATGGAATAGAAAATCTGAAGAGATTAATTGCTAGTAAGGAGATTAAATCAGTAATCAGTAACTTCCCAATAAACTAAAGTCCAGGGCCCAGATGGCTTGGTAGTGAATTCCAGTCCTCAAAATCTTCCAAGAAAATAGAAGAGGGAACACTTCCAAATTCATTTTATGAGGCCAGTATTACCCTGATACCAAAATGGACAAGGGCACTACAAGTAAAGAAAATTATAGGCCAATATCCCTATTGAACAAAGATGTAAAAATATTCAAAAAAATATTAGCAAGCTGAATTCAGCAATACATTAAAAATTAAAAGGATCATACACTATGATCATGTGGGATTTATTCCAGGGATGCAGGTATGGTTCAGCATCTTTAAATCAATCAGCATGACATACCACATTAACAAAATGAATGAAAAAAATCATATCTCAATAGATGCAGAAAAAGCATTTGATAAAATTCATCCATTTTTGGTAAAAATTCTTAACAAAGTAGGTATAGAAGGAACGTATCTCAACACAGTAAAGTCCATATATGACAGTCCCACAGCTAACATCATACTCAGTGATGAAAAGCTTAAAGCTTTCCCCCTAAGATTAAGAACAAGACCAGGATTCCCACTCTTGCTGTTTATTCAACACAATATGTATTGGAAATCCTAGCCACAGCAATTAGGCAAGAAAAAGAATTCAAATAAGAAAGAAGTAAAGCTGTCTCTATTTGCATAATACATAATATATTTAGAATACCCTGAATTCTCCACCAAAAACTATTAGAACTAAGAAGCCAATTCAGAAAAGTTGCAGGGTTCAAAATCACTAGTAACAGACTATCAGAAGAGAAATTAAGAAAACAATCCCATTTATACTTGCATCAAAAATGTCAAAATACTTAGGGAATAACTTTAACCAAGGAGGTGAGAGACCTGTACATTGAGATTGATGAAAGCAATTGAAGGCACAAATTAATGGAAAGTTAATCTGTGCTCATGGACTGGAAGAATTAATATTGTTAAAATGTGAAGAATTAATATTAAAATGTCCATACTACCAAAAGCCATCTACAGAATCAGTGTAATCCCTAAGTTCCAATGACATCTTTCACAGAAATCGAACAAACAGTTCTAAAATCTGTGTGGAACCACAAAAGACCCCAAATAGCCACGGCAGTCTTGAAAAAGAAGAGCAAAGCTGGAAGTATCACACTTCCTGATTTCAAACCATATTACAAAGTTATAGTAATCAGAACAGTATAGTATTGGCGTGAAAACAGACACATAAATAAATGGAACAAAATAGGTCAGAAATAAACCCATGAATCTTTGGTCAGTTAATTTACAACAGTGAAGCCAAGAGTATACAGTGGGTAAGGATAGTCTCTGTAATAAATAATGTTGGGAAAAATGCACAGCCACATGCAAAAGAATGAAACTGGATCCCTATCTTACATCATACAAAAATTCCAAATGGATTAAAGACTTGATCATAAGACCTAAAACTGTAAGTCTCAGATTTTGAAAACATTGGCAGTAAGCTCCTTCACATTGGTCCTGATGATGATTTTTTAGATTTGGCAACAAAAGCAAAATAACAAAAGCAAAAATAAACAAGTGGGACTACATCAGACTAAGAAGCTTCTGTACAGCAAAGAAAACCATCAACAAAACAAAAAGGCAGGTTACTGAATGGGAGAAGATACTTGCAAATCATATATCGGATAAGGGCTTAATAGACAAAATATATAAAGAACTTCTACAACTCAGTAGCCAAAAAAAATTTAAAAATGGGCAGAGGATCTGAATAGACATTTTCCCAAAGACATATGGATGGCCAGCAGGTACATGAAAAAGTGCTCAATGTCTCTAATCAGGGAAATGCAAATCCAAACCACAGTGAGATACCAACTCATACCTGTTAGAACGGCTATTATCAAAAGATAAGAAGTAACTAGTGTTGGTGGGGATGTGGAGAAAAGGGAACCCATGTACTGTTGGTGGGGATGTAGATTGGTTTAGCTGCTATGGAAACAGTATGAAGCTTCCTCCAAACATTAGAACTACCATATGATCCAGCAATTCTACTTCTGGATATTTATCCAAAGGAAATGAAAAGATATGTGTAAACCCCATGTACATTGAAGCTTATTTATAATAGCCAAGACATGAAAACAACCTAAGTGTCCCATCAGTAGATGAATGGATGAAGAAAATTGTGTTTGTGTGTGTGTACACAATGGAATATTACTTGGCCATAAAGACTTAGGAAATCCTGCCATTTATGACCACATGGGTGGGCTTGGAAGACATTACACTAAGTGAAATAAGTCAGAGAAAGACAAATACTGTTTTTGTCACTTATATGTAGAATCTAAAAAAAATTTTTCTTGGACTCATAGATAACAGATTGGTGATTGTCGGGGCAGTGGCGGGGGATGGATAAAGTGAGTGAAGGTGCTCAAGATAACATTAATAAGTCCTGGGTATATAATGCACAACATGGTGACTACAGCTAAGTATATTGACGCTAAGTTAGTACATCTTAAAAGATCTCATCACTAGGAAAAAAGTTTTATAACTGGTATGGGTGTTAACTAGACTTACTGTGATGATCATTTTGCAATGTGTACATATATTGAGTCATGTTTTACACCTGAAACTAACAGAATGTTATGTGTCAATTATATCTCAGTTTTTTTGAAGAGTGTGATCAGGGTAGATTTCAGAAGGTAAGATTTGAGCAAAGACTTGAAAGGAGTTAGTGGACATTTGAGAGAAGAACATTTTTGAGGAAACATCTCGACTTTAGAGCAAAGGCCCAAAAGTAGGAGAGTCCCCACCATGTTTGTGTAACAGCAAGGAGGCCAGGTGGCTGGCGTAGAATGAGAGAGAATGGGACTAATGAGAAGTCCAGGCAGTGGGCCTTGGAGAGTGTTGGAGGACTGTGTCTTCCATGCCGAATGAAACAGGAGCAGAGGAGTAACATGATCTTATTGTAATGGATCACTCTGATTGCAGAGCTGAAACTAGACTGAAGGTCATGATAGCATCTCTTAGAAGGCTTTTGCAGTAGTAGTGACTGAAGGTGGTAAGAAATTCTCAGATACAGTTTTGAGAAACTACTAATCAGAAGCTTTTTAATAAAAGCTATTTGCTAAAAAAATTAATTTATTCTTTCCTAGATATAAATCTCTTTAAAAATAGTGGGAAAGTATATATTTAAGGTGTACCTTGAATGTGCTTAAGGAGCTAAATTTTCTTGTCTGTTTTCTCTTTTGTGTTTTTGGAGAAAATGTTGTCAGTGACCTTTAGAGAACAACATCTTAGTGTTCCTTCAGAACGAAAGATTTATAAAACTAGTGTTCAGGATAATTTTGTATAAAATTTAGTTTCTTAATACATTATCTCTATTTGTACAAGCTTTGCCACAGGAAATCTACAGAGAGTTGTCCAAAGGTAAAATAACATTATTGCCATGCCATTCTTGTGAAAATTTATAGTAAATATGTATAATACTCATTTGCTTCACAAGATGGGAAGTTAAAAGAATTGCTTGATATGTTTAAAAGGTACTGTGGCTACTCTGGGAGAGAAGAGTAAAAAATAAATGCCAGAATAATCTAATGCTAAAAACCTTCATTTTATCATGTAAACAGTGTTTAAATCAAGCCAGGACCACCTCATGTTCTAGTGGAGTCTGTGATTTGCACATGTGGTTTTATTTTAAGAGCTAACACTTAAAGGCTTCCTCTTTCTCCTATTAATAGATACTAATTTCTTCTAGGTTAAGATTTTGCTTCTGTTAAAATGAATATAGCCATAAGAATGGGTAACAGCAAAGCTGTTTTCATTCACTAATACCTTGTGGTAAATGTATTTACCTAAAGCGCTAATTACCTAAAAAAAAAACCTGTAGAAATTGAGGATAAAAAAGGTAGGAATTGAACAGCTGAGGGCATGGGGATATATGCTGGGGTGTTCCAAAAATAGAAATTAAAGGGGCGCCTGGGTGGCTTATTAAGCGTCTGCCTTCAGCTCAGGTCATGATCCCAGAGTCCTGGGATCGAGCCCTGCATCGGGCTCCCTGCTCCGCGGGAAGCCTGCTTCTCCCTCTCTCACTCCCCCGCTTGTGTTCCCTCTCTCGCTGTTTCTCTGTCAGATAAATTAAAAAAATCTTTAAAAAAAAAAATAGAAATTAAAGAAGTACACAAATTTATCACAATTAATGTTTGGTTAGCAGCGTGTATAATTAAAATAAGCAAATATTTTAGCATAGATAAGGAAAAACCCTTGTCTATCCTGGATATCAGGGAAAGTTTAGGAATATATGCATAAAGTACAAAAGAAAAATGTTGAGTAAAAAAATGCTTCTTTTTATTTTATTACTGAATATATTACTAAAATTTTTAAATGTTTAAGAGTAATTTTTTAAATGACCCTTTCAACCTTTTATATAAGCAAGCTCCTTTGATAATGCCAATTTTCTGTTCTGGGAGATGTTGCTTTTGGATTTATTATCTGAATTTATTTTATATTCTTCAGATCTGGCAAGATTTTTGGTAGATTCAACAGTCTTTAGGAAGAATCAAGTAATAATATATTTTAGGGGCTGACTATTCTAAAGTTAACTCTTCTTCCTTCCTCAGAATGAACTCTCTGATACACGTGCAAAGTTCCACGTACTTTTCCTTTTCTTTGTGTCTACAATGTTCTTCGTCAGCGTCCTATCACTTTTCAGCTACCACTGCTGGCTAGTTGGAAAAAACAGAACAACAATAGGTAAGTAGGTTAAAAGAAATCATAATTATTTAGGAAAATGACCATAAATGACTATGAAATCATGAGGACAATAGTCAGATGATAAAAAAGTGTAAAATAATTCTGTATTAAGGTTAACTATGACTAGATAAGAACAATGGGTACATAATGTAAAGTTTCAATATTTTGAAGGTTGAGGATGTGAGATTGGCATTTATATGTATTTTCAGTTGTGCACTGTATATAAAAGAACTATATAAATATTATTCTTTAAAAATTATTTGTTTATTTATTTTAGAGAGCAAGAGCATGAGCGAGCAGTGGGGAGGGGCAGAGGGAGAGAGAGAAGGAGAGAAGCAGACTCCCTGCAGAGCATGGAGCCTGATGTGGGGTCAATCTCATGACCCTGAGATCATGACCTGAGCTGAAACCAAGAGTCAGTCACTTAATAGACTGAGCCACCCAGGCACCTCAATATGAATTTTAATAAATAAGAGCTGTTCCCTGCATTTATACAGTGTCTTTTCAAAAATCATCCTATAGGGGCGCCTGGGTGGCTCAGATGGTTAGGCGTCTGCCTTTGGCTCAGGTCATGATCCCGGGGTCCTGGGATCGAGCCCCACGTCGGGCTCCTGGCTCACCAGGGAGCCTGCTACTCCCTCTCCCTCTGCCTCTCTCCCTGCTCATGCTCTCTCTTTCTGTACCTTTGTGTCTCAAGTGAATAAATAAAATCTTAAAAAAAAAAAATCATCCTATAGGGGCGCCTGGGTGACTCAGTCGTTAAGCATCTGCCTTCGACTCAAGTCATGATCCCAGGGTTCTGGGATCGAGCCCCGCATAGGGCTCCCTGCTCTGAGGGAAGCCTGCTTCTCCCTCTCCCACTCCCCCTGCTTGTGTTCCCTCTCTCACTGTCTCTCTCTCTGTCAAATAAATAAATAAAATCTTAAAAAAAAAAAAAGATTTTATTTATTTGAGAGAGGGAGAGCACACCCGCATGCAAGCAGGGGGGAGGGGCAGAAGGAGAGGGAATCTCAAGCTGACTCTGTGCTAAGTGTGGCACCCACTGCCAGGCTCAGTCTCACAACCCTGATATCATGACGTGAGCTGAAATCAAGAGTCGGACACTCAACCGACCGAGTCACCCAGGTGCCCTTACAGCTTATCTTTTAGCTAAAACATGTTCTTTACCTTTTTCCCCACCTTTGATTACACACTGACTGGCGTGTTCCATGATTGAGGCTAAGGAGTAGTGTTTTTGACATGATTAATCATTTCCATCTTTATGTCAACTATATCACTAATATCGGCATTTATTTCCATATTTTGCTGATTTTTTAAAGTGAAATATAGGGGAAGAATTCAGTAAGGTATTAAAATAATTGGACAAACATTTCCTAAATAAGAGTGGTATGGCATTGGCTCAAACTAAGCTATTAGCCTGTAAGCAGCCACTGTGCTATAATTGAAATATTTAGGCATTGGCTAATGTAGCAGGATATGAAATAGGGATTTGTCACATTGTTTCACAGGAACGTCAAAGACTCCTTGCCATCTAAAGCCATGTGTCTGCCAGGGGAATTGGAGGCAGAAAGATTATAATACATAAAGATGAAGACATTTTAGGGAGACTTTTAGATATGTTTATATTTGGATTATTTTAACTTCGTGTCTTACTGAGTCATGAAAAAGCTTGATGGGCTCCAGGGTAAGAATTTCTAAGTCTTTTCTTCCCCAGCTCACTCTCCATTGTGGAGCTCTCCTCCAATTCCATCATGCCTTCATCCCTTTTCTGTGTAAATAAACTTTCTTGTGTCTAGTAATTAATTTTTTATCCTTGTCACAGAGTATCCTGCCATCCTCTTACCTTTACTCATCGATGATAAAAGGCAGCTTACATGCAAAGTCTAGCCCTTACGAACTATGCCAACTAAAAAGGAAGAGATTTCACATAGAAAAGTTGATTTCTTTTCAAAAATTGATAAATCTGGTAACAGTGGGCCCATTTTCCTCTCTGGCATCCTTCAGTTGAAACTGAGTAGTAGTCGACTGCTTTAGATGGGAGCTTGAACACTTTTAATTTGGCACAGTTCCAAGCCTGCTTCGTTTCTTGCCCAGCCACTTAGTTATGAGAGAAGAGTGCTTCATGGGAAACCCATTGTTCTCTTTAAGCAGTATTCTTCAGTTTTTTTTGTCGGTGACTACAATAAGAAAGGCATCATTTGTATTGTGACCTAGTGCATGTACATGTTTATAAAATTATATAAACAAAATAAGCAAAAATTTTACAAAACATCATTAATCTCTACTATGTGCGATGTATTCTAATATTTTCTGTTCTAGTTCGTTAAAAAGAAATGCTGGTAGCAAAAAAAAAAAATAGGTGTGAAAAACACCTATTAAGGTGTTTTATTTTATTTTTTTTAATTTTATTATGTTATGTTAGTCACCATACAATACATCATTAGTTTTTGATGTAGTGTTCCACAATCCATTGTTTCCATATAACACCCAGTGCTCCATGCAGTACGTGCCCTCCTTATTAAGGTGTTTTAACCCTTATTTTGAAAAAATTGCCCTGGCACACCACTTCCTTTACAGCTCACCTTCCACAGCCCTGGCCCTAGGCTGTTTCTCCACTGCTCCTTCCAGAGTTATGTTCTTCTGTCCTTTGAGGCATCACTTCTACCCTTCTCCATAACTGTCCCCTACCTACCTTGAGACCATTTCCCCAATTTAAAGAGTTTCTGTATTCAAACAAATGCAATCATCCCAAACAAGCAAGCTGGTCCCTTTAGGATGCTCATGGTCAATCATTCCCATAACTAAACATTGAACCTTTTAATCTCTTCGAACTGAAGAGTCCCTGAAATTGTCAACTTGGACTTTCCGTTCTCTGGCCACTCATCATCCTTGCAGCTCTCCTTTTCTGTACTCAACTCTCCCAGCCGTTCATTTCCCTTCTGGTCTCATTTCTCCCCTTTTCAATTCTAGATCCTGTAACAAATGACTTTAACAACTCTTGACAACATTCTCACACTATACCTGTCCTGGCTTTCTCCTGTAATTCAGTTGCTGATCCATGACCTGGGTTATTCTAGCTCTCCACTTTATCCACAAGTACGTCGGGGCTGTAGAAAGCTGGGGAAGGCAGTCTCACTCCCACAGCGATTGGTGCACCTACACATTTAAAGTCTCAGACCTCACTTGGGTCCTCTGCTCTATTTGGCAGTCATGTCCTGTGTTTCTGAAAAAATTAGAAGTTGTCACTAGTAAATTCTTTTTATTTATTTATTTATTTATTTAATTGACAAAGAGAGACAGCGAGAGAGGGAACACAAGCAGGGGGAGTGGGAGAGGGAGAAGCAGGCTTCCCGCAGAACATGGAGCCCGATGCGGGGCTTGATCCCAGGACCCTGGGATCATGACCTGAGCTGAAGGCAGACGCTTAACCGACTGAGCCACCCAGGCGCCCCTGTCACTAGTAAATTCTTATCTTCTCCCCTTTATAACTTCACACAGACATTTCTCCTTTCAAACCCATCACTGTCACTCTGCCTCTGACTTCTGAGGACAAATGTCTTTTCTGATATGTAAGGTTAATCTTTAGAGCTCTTCTAGAGGCTGTCTCATTTCTTCTGCCCTTACAGCTTATCTTTTAGCTAAAATGTGTTCTTTACTTTTTTCCCCACCTTTTTTTTACTTTACTTTTCTATATCATCAACCTTTCTCAATTCCTCTCTCCCTGGCTTTTTATCCTTAGCTTACAAAACATGCTAAAATAAATTGTATTTTTAAATAAAGAAAAAAAACTTTTTCTTGTGAAATGTGTATCTTTCTCTAGCCTCCACTCTACATCACTTAACAGCCAAACTTGAAATAATCGTCTCTGATCACCATCTGCTTCTTTATCTGTTATTTGTTGTTCAAGATCATGCTCAAATACCACCACCCCCATTCACACATGTATATCACAGTGCAATTTTGTTAGACTTTGTTAGACTGTGGATTCTTCGGTAAGAATTTCATCTAATTTACCTTTGGATCTCAAACACCTGGTACTGTACCATTAGGCACATAGTAAGAATTTCATAAGTAATAAATGAGTGAAGTTGCAAGAGTTAGCATATCTTTTTAAAAAGGTGAGATATAGTGAACACACTTCAGTAGATTTTTAGTAATATTAGATAATTGTTTTCACATTTTCATTTTATAAAGGTGATGAAATACTCAGAGGTGGTATTTTTTTTCCCAAATAAGTTTCAGAAATTTCTTTTAATTATTACAAATATCTTATTTATTTTAAATTATATTTGTATAATTTTGATATCAAAGATATAAGGCAAGAAAATTGCTGCTTTCCATCCTCGTATAATTTTTAAATAGATTAACTCTTTTTTTATATATATATGTACATATAACAGAATCATTCCGCTCACCCACATTTTCATACGGACCTGATGGAAATGGTTTTTCTCTTGGATGCAGTAAAAATTGGAGACAAGTCTTTGGCGATGAAAAGAAATACTGGCTGCTTCCAGTATTTTCAAGGTAATTACAAAATGCAGGTCTCGGAAATTACAGAATCTGTGATAGTCTGTCTCTCTGGTTAAATGTCTTAAGATTCAGAGAATACAGTATATAATGACATCCTTATGAGCCTTGAGAATGAAAACTCAGAACATCTTGATTATATAAAATACTATTTTTCATGTTTTTTATTAAACTCTCCCAAAAGAGAGTTTGGGCATATATTTGAATGGAAAGTAGAAAAAAAATTATTCATAAAAATAACAATCACTCTTTTTCCTTCAAGATGAAAATAAGTTGTTTGAGGTAGAGAATCATAAGAATTTATACGTATTAGCTATATCTTCAAAGATTCTATCACAGATACGTATTCTGTTGTGTCTTAAAAGAAGACCCAACATACAATGCAATTTTTAACTTCAAGTTTAAATGAAAATATATGCTTGAGATGATTCATAGTTTCCTTTTCTCCCAAATTCCCAGCCATCTTAGGCCATCTATATACCAAAGTCATTACAGAAAAGTAAAAAATATTTGAAATTCAAGTGACATATTTATAAATGTTACGGGTTTTTTTTCCCTTGTTTAGCTGTATTTCCTATATTTTTGTCTGAAAATAACATTTTGCTTTCACATTTGAAAGACAGTTTTGCTTGGCATATAATTCTAGATATTGCTTCACCATCTTCTGGATTACATTTTTTCTAACAAAAAGTTTGTACTCATTTTTTTTTTTACTCTATATGTAATGTGTCTTTTTTTCACTGGGTGCTTTTAAGATATGCTTTTTAACACTAGTTTCATGCAGTTTGATTATGGTGTGCCTTGGTATATAGTTTTCTTCATGTTTCTTATGCTTGGAATTGGTTGAACTTCTTGGAACTGTGATTTTATAACTTTCATCAAATTTGAAAAGTATTTTAACCATTATTTCTTTAAATACTTATTCTGTCATCCCCACCCCCCCCTTCCCCATTACTATACAGACTCCAGTTACATGTATATTAGTACACTTGAAGTTGTACCACAGCTCCCTGATGCACTGTCCATTTTTTTGTTCAGTTTTTTTTCTGTGTTCATTTGATAGATCCTATTGCTGTACCTTTAAGTGCATCAATCTCTTCTGTGTACTTTATCATCTCCGGTATTACAAAGTTTTTCCACTCTGACTGGATAGAACACAGACTAGTATTTTTTAAGATTATTTTCTCTATACTGAGATTTCAGTGTTGACTGGTTGTTTTGTTTTTTCCTCTTTCTTTAAAGATGTTGTTCCATTAACTTCTGGCTTGCATTTTTTTTTTTTTTTTGACAAGAAATCAGCCTCACTCATCTTTATTCCACTGTTTGTTAATTACTGTGTCTTTTTTTGACCTTTGGCTACTTTTAAGGTTTTATCTTAAAAGCCATTTGATGATGATTTTTTTTTTTTTTGGTGGTTTCTTTGTGTTTATCCTCTCTAGGGTTCATTAGGCTTCTTGGATCTGTGAATTTATAGTTTTCATCACATTTGAATGATTTTTATTATGTCTTCCCATGCTTTCCCTCCACTGGTGTTGGGGGCACTCTTAAATATACGTATGTTAAATTGCTTGATTGTGACCCACAGGCCATTGCTGTTCTTTGCTCCCCCGGCCCCATCTTTTTTCTCTGTCTGCTAAGGTTTGGATAGTTTCTGTTGCTATGTCTGTAAGTTCACTGATCTTTTCTTTTATGATGTCTGCTCTGCTGTCAAGCTCATCTAGTGAATTTTCATTTCAGATACTGTATTTTTTAGCTCTAGAAGTTCAGTTTGGTTCTTTTTTTATATCTTACATTTCTCTTCTCCTATCCATTTTTTCCTGTTAATTCACAGACATATTTATAATCACTATTTTAAAGTATTTGTTTCAAATTTTCATAGTCATTTCTAATTCTTTTCTATTAACCATTTTTTTCTTAGTTGTGGATCTCATTTTCCTGCTACTTTTCATGCTAGTAATTTTTGATTAGATGGTAGACATTTTGAATTCTGCGTATTAAATTTTGCTCACTCCCTTTGGCAGTTACTTGTGTTTTAGCTTGGTCCTTTTGAGGCTGTTTTAAGCCTAGATTCACATGTGTAGCTTCACATTCATCAAAACACTCCAGTAAAATGCTGTGCACATTGTTGTAGCCCTTTCTTTGCATATATCTCCCTCTTCCTCAGCTCTGTCCAGTAGATTCAAGCTACCTTAACTTCTTGAAACGCCCATCTCTGTCACCTCAATTCATTGAGACTACCTTGCTCTACTTTTTTCCCCTGGTGGTACTCAGGTCCTGGCAGAAAGCTGGGACTCACTTGGTTGGTTTCTCTTTTTTCAGAGACCACAGTTCTGTGCTTGCTGGTTTGGAAAACAGTTATTGTATATACTGTTCAGTTTTCTGATTGTTCATGATGAAAGGTCACATTTATCAGTTAATCCATCTTGGCTGGAAATGAAAGTCCCTGTTTTACATGATTTTGGTATTTTTAAAATGTGAAGGTATGTCTGTACTTTTTTTTAGATTTTAAACTTCTTGAGGGCAGAAGTTTTCTCCTGTTTTGTTCACTGCTATATCCCTAGTCCTGATAATTGTACCCAAGGCATCATAGGCATTTAATAAGTATTTGTCAAATGAATAAATATTTGGAACTTACACCTTGAATTTCAATTTGAGCCTTTATGATGTCTTAAAGGATTGTGATGAGTAGGTCAGTTACCCAAATATTTGCTTACCTATGTTTGAGGTATCATAATCTTAATAGGCATCATAATCTTAATAAGCATTATAATCTCAATTACCCAAATATTTAACTAGCCAACTTCCCAGATATTTGAATACCTATGTTTGAGGTATCATAATCTTAATGGGCATTATAATCTTTTTTTTAAGAGTTTTATTTATTCATTTGAGAGAGAGAAAGAGAGAGCAAGTGAGAGAGCATAAGCAGGGGGCATGGCAGAGGAAGAGGGAGAAGCAGGCTACTCACCGAGCAGGGAACCCGATATGGGTCTCGATCCCAGGACTCCGGAATCATGACCTGAGCCAAAGGCAGACACTTAACTGACTGAGCCACCCAGGCACCCCAGGCATTATAATCTTAATAGTCCTGAAAGATACTGTTTTTAAATATATGTAAATTATGAGAGAAGACAGCTTATTTCTTCAGTGAGGCTAGTAACCCTCTAAATTAGAAAATTTTAAGAATTATTTTCTGAAATGACAAGTTATGATAATTTCTTTATACTGTGTTTTTGAAGAATGGTTGTTGAATTTGACCACCTTGATTTAAGTTAATATGATTTAAATTATTACTGATATTTTTCATTATGCAGCTTGGGTGATGGTTGCAGTTTTCCAACTCGCCTTGTGGGGATGGATCCAGAACAAGCTTCTGTTACAAATCAAAATGAATATGCTAGAAGGTGTGCTTCTTATCATTTTTTTCATTATTCATTATAAAGCAAACTGTGTGTGTGTGTTATACATACATATCTGATAAATACAGTAATAATTTGTAGGTCAACATAGATAAGGAAAGAGAAATTCTATGTAAAATTTTTTTAATGGAGAGCTAATAGGTATATGTACCTAACATGCTTAGGATAACCATATTTTTTATCATCCAAACCAGAACACTTGGAGAATAAGAAAGAGAATGCTTGCTATTAATAGTTGAACCAGGACAATCACATATAACTGGAAATGTCTGGGCAAACCAGGAAACATGGCTATCCTAAATATGCTACATCTTTCTAGAAACTAAGACATTCTTTCAAGATGTGATTCTTGGTTTATATCAGCTATATTTTTTTTCAAAGAAATTAGTCGTACTATCCACCATTATATTTTGGTAAACAGATTTAAACTGCAGTGTAAAAATAATATTAATGAGGATTTCAAAATACAATGTAAAATTTTTTCTCATTCATTCATCTTAGAAGATACTTTTTCAGTATTTGCATGGCAAGCAAGCCAATTCATAAATTAAAAGAAATAGTTCATTTTAAATGAAATTTTAAAGAAGACAGAGATACTTCTGTCAAATAGTCGAAATTTATTTAGGACAGAAATAAATTGTGGGGGAGGAGGGGTTATAAATTCCAAACCATCTATTAGTATCAGAACATAGACCTTCAAACCTACAGTCTTAGGACCTTAGAACTCTAACATTTATTGTGAGTCTGAACAAGTCACTTAAACTGTGTGAGACTCAGTTTCCAGCTCTATAAAATGAGGATAACCATACGTACCTCCAAGGGTTATTGTGAAGGTTGACATAATGCGTATAAAGCACCTAGCACAGTGTCTGGCCCATAGTAAGTACACAAGAAATACTAGTTCCCTTTTCCTTCTTTTGTTCCTCCATTCCCTCCCTCCCTGGATCTCTTAGCAAGAAAAGTAAGTCTACGCTAAATCACTAAATCATTTTTTCCCCTTAGATCTAAACTGCAGAGGTAGAAAGCAGAAAACTTGGGAAATGACAGGTAATTTTTTTGTCCTGGCCACAGACATAGATCCTCACCTTGTGCTACTTTACAGCTCTTGATTAACACATTTTAAAAGTTTCACACCAGGCTCTGAAGCTTTTTTCTTTTGTCTAATTGTTTTCATTGGCACTGCTGGAATATAGATTCTTGGGTTTAGAGAGCCATTCAGTTGGGGGTCGGGGGCATATTTTTCTCTTGAAGATAGAGTTTTTTTAGAGTGCTGAGATCTCATGAGTTGCCCTCACATATTTAGGAGAAGGAATACTAATTTGCTGCTTATTAATTAAGTATCCTTAACTGAGCATTAAACTATTTACTGAATTATTTCTTCCTCTTTTCAGTATTGGCTCAAATCAACCCTTTCCTATCAAACCGCTTAGTGAATCAAAAAACCGATTGTTGGACAGTGAATCTCAATGGATAGAGAATGGATCTGAAGAAGGCACTGTCAGATCAGGTAATACTTGTCATTTGAAAACAGTGCTTTTTCTGGTTAAAATGAAGATCAACCAGATTTAACAAATATGTAAAAATCAAAACAACATGATATTCTAAAATACTAAGATATGTGAGACTTTTTAATAAAATATCTTACAAATAGGGTGTCAGTGTTTATTAGTAGCTTTTATGGAGAAAGAGGTTTGAGTGAGGAGAAGTGTAGGGGCTACTACTGTGTTTTGTTCTGTTCAGAGTTGGGATTTTCTTTTGTTACCCAGCCACATATTTCTTTACCTCAGATATAGAAAGTTCTTTGGGCATTCACTATTCTGAATAACATTTAAACAAGGTTATTCTTTAGCACTTAAGTTTTACTTATTTGAAAATAATTTTTGAAATGCATTGTAGTCTTTGCTACCTTAGTATAAAAAGAATGCACTGAATATATTTTAACCTTTTCTTGATGACTCAATCAATCCATGAATTGTGAATGCATTATAGAACAGTTGATAAGACAGAAATGGTCTTTCAAACCAGATCGGGTTTATAACATAGCCTGGCCACCTAACAAGCATTATAGCCTAAAATATATGCATGGTGGTTTTCAACGGCACTAGTAATAACATTGTCATCATCTTGCACTGTGAGAAAATGGTTTGGACATTCAGATCAATTGGTACCAACTCGAGGAAATACCCTAAAACTTGAAAACTTACTGTCAGAATTTCTGATTTTTTTTTTTTATTCTCTTAAATTGGTATCATTAGGATCTTCATTAGGATCATTAGACCCCGTGTAGGTCAAGGGAAAAATTGATTTCATGGGCTATGTAATTATTGCTGCTGAACATCTTTAAAAGCCAGTGGACATTTTTACAAATATAAGCATAAAAGCAGACTTTTAGCTCTTTAGCACTGCTTTTCTTCTGGGTTCTCCAAGTGGATATTGGTTGACACTATAAGCCTACTTAGTATTTACATAAGAGTTGCTTTTACTGTAATCATCAATTTTACCAATTAGCCAGAAACTTAATACTTCTTTTTTTTTGTCCTGTCATATATAATTATGTGCTTACAGGGACAAATAACCATGTTACAGTGGCAATAGAAAATTGAGTACCACTTGTTCATAACTAACCATTTGAATAAGAGCAAGGTAAGACAGTATAAAGGTAATTTCCTTGAACAAATGCAGTTATTTGCATATTTTGTAATTTCAAAACAGTCAATTTTTTTTTTACTCTTTTAATTATATCAGCAAAATCAGGTAGTTCAGAAGAGATTGGAAGGTAACAGCTGTGCTTAAATCCCATTTTTTCTTACCACTCCTAGTGCAATCTTTGTAAATACGTATTGGTAGATTAATGAAGAAACTAAAAAACGGTTTGGGTTGATATGCGGACAACTAATCTTTTCAGTAAACAGGGTCTTGTTAATTAGTTTAAGAAAGAAGAGTGACTAATTAGGCTGCAGAAAAGACTGAAGAGGTTCACCAATATGACTTAGTTGGAAAAGATACAATAAAAGAGCAGTTTACTGTAGCCAGCCACACTGATCCGCTATTCTTGATCTGGCTAGCCCCAAGACAATAGCCAGAGGAAATTAATTTAAATCGCAATCGAGGACGTTCCAAACAGATTAAACATAAACTGTAGTATCAGCAGTGAGTAATGTAACTAAGTTGGATTTTGAGGGATGTAATGAATTCTCTGTCTCTCCTGATACTTCAAAACACTGTCTGTTTAACTTAGGAGCTAGCTCTGTGACTCAGTAGCATTTTAGGCAATTAGATTTTTTGAAGTCTTCCTTATAATGTGTATTGGTTATCTTTTGCTCCATAACAAATTACCACAAACTTAGCAATTTAAGACAACATCCATTTATTACCTCAGTTTCTCTGTGTCAGGAGAGTTCATTTTTTTCAAAGAGTTCTCATCTGGAGTCTCAATTAGGGGAACGTCTGCTTCCTTGCTCAGCATTTTTCATTAGCTTTCAGTTCCCTACAAAGGACCCAGAGCCCATGTCCAAAGTAACAGCCAGAGCCTAAGACCTAGACTGAATCGGAACAGCGCTCTCAGTGGGGGCTTGTGTCAGGCTGGACTCCGAAGATGAGTGGTGATTGTATCGTGTGATGATCATGTCAGCCAGAACTGCGGCTGTGGTATAGTCCTGGTTTTAAGATTCTTAATGTGAGCAGGATAATGTCTGATGTGTGGTTGTTGAAAATCTCAGCGACCTATAAGTGTTGCTCTGGGTATTTCCCCATATCCTGTAGCAGTCTTATGAAGGGGTAGATAAGGTGTCTCCTCAGATTATGTCCAAGTTAACAGTAAGGGAGAACTGTAAGAATCTACCTCTTTTTAAAATGCTCTCTTGATTGCTTCAGAGTAAGAAAGTCAGAGATATCACTTATTTACTGTTTATAAAAATCTTTGTTATTATTACAATATTAGTAGTATTAAAATATTTATTCTCTGTCTTGTTATTTTAGCAGCTTTATACCTTAGACCACAGAACCATTTAATAAATCTTTACTTACAGAAATATAAAATCAAGTTTTAACCAATAACTTCAGTTGTTTCTGATTTTGTAGGTTTATAAAAACATATTATGGACTGATATTTTCAGCTTTATTTACAAGAAAATGATCAGTGGAATGAAATAATTGAAGTATAACAGAAGATATATTTTTTAAAAAGGAAGCCTTTGTACAGATTGCCAGATCCACAGAAGAAGCATTACTCCAGAGCAGAAAGATGCCTTAATCTTAAATACACCCATTTGTGCTACATCAACTTACTGCTACAAAAGTGACTTAATTTTACTTTGGAAATAACACTTACCTGTTATGAGATGCTATACTATGAGCTATCAAGTCACATGTTAACATGGCATATGTATTTTTTTGACACCTGAGTTACATAATTAGAGTGTTTCTTAGTATCCATATAAAGTTTCGTTCCCGAAACACAAGCTGAAAAGTTGTCTTGAGTGAAGTACATGTAGGGCAGTATGGTGGCTTAAGGTGAATAATAATATCCATTTACTGTTGCTTGTACTGTGTAAGGAAAAGAAAATAACTTTTTTTTATTGGGTGTTTGCTAATTTATAATTACTGTTTTATACTTTTCAACATTTATAATAAAGTTTTTTATTGTTGGCTATAAAATAACACTCAGAAAGATTCAGATATCTAAATATAATTATTTAAAACATGGAGCACATTTGTATAATTCATTGATGGCTTAGTTCTAAACATTAATACAACCATGAAATGTAGTGTTGTGCCCGAGGCTTAAAGGAAATTTGGCAGTATAGGAAATAGGTTCTCTCTGCTTTTAAATTACTTTTTTGTTGAACTTTCATGGGTATTTTTATGGGCAGGGAGACACAAAGGCACATGTGCTATAGAAATATTGGACACAGTCAGAATAGTGGCAGTGGCTAGAAGAAAAGTAAAGAGGAAGATAGGCAGGTATTGTAAGCTGTTAAAAGTTATTTCTGGTCCCAAGGTATTTAGAATGCAACATGCTATTGACTTTCACGTGTCAATTTAGGCGATTACTAGAAATTACTTTGAAACTTTTTACGGTAGTCCTGTAACAGCTTAAACAGTGACTTGAAAGGCAGTTTGAACTAGGGTAGAACTGCTTAGTGTAATTCCTCTTTCTGGAAAGAAATTCTAACCTAAGTAGTCATTTAAGACTTCTAGTCTGTGAGCAGTGAATTCCACTCTTACATGCAAAATTTTAAATCTGACTTCCTAAACATCAGCCCCTTTCTGCCTGGTAGACCTAGATCTCCTTTTCCTTTTGAAATGCAATCTAAGTGACAGGAATTGTTGCATTAATTCTAAGGGAAAATACTGTATCCTGTAAAGGAGAAACAAGGTAGAAATGTTACTCCTCACTTATCCTGTTTAGTCAAATATACACATACAAACCAAAATGATTGATTGCTTCCAGTATTGGGTAGAGATAAATCTTAACCAGCATCTGTAAGTATCAACCATTACAGTTTCCCTATCTGTAAAATGGAATTGGGAGGAAAGGGTGTTATGTATGAGTTGGACTGGATGACCTCACATTCTTTGATTCCTAATTTTGCAAAATTAACCTTACATTTCATTCATCCAACAAATATTTTCAGAGTACCTCCTGTATGCCAAACATATGGTAGGGATAGCTCTGTAATTTCCTAGTGTAGCATAAATTTTATAGTCAGCTATTCCAGACCTTCAGTTCATAGGACTTGTCTAATTCTGTTGGCTATACTAATATTAGATTTTAAAAGGAAGTTATGGGTTTTTTCCCCCCTTTGAGCCAAAGGCATGAGTTAGCTTTGAAAATATAGTTTGGAATATTATTATTATGATCTTCTGTCTTTATTTCAACTTTGTAGTCCTAATAATCTTGACTCTAGAAAACTGAGAGTTAAGGGATAACAAAATATCACTTCATTTTGGCATTTTATGTATTATAAGGAAATTGTGAATGTTTAAAAACCTACTTGACTACTTTCAGAATTGTTCTGGTACTTTTTGTGAGTATTTCTACATTTAGATCAAAGGATTTGCATGCACCTGATTAACAGTTGAGGAAACATAAATTTCCCCTTTAACCTATCCAGGCACTTTTGTGGTGGTGTCTTTCTCTTTTAAGTTGTATTTCACCATCATCTTTAATAGCATAGCAAACACCTTTTCAGAAATTTTCACTTAAAGCTTTTTGCTTTAGTTACCTTTGCTTTAATTTATGGCCAACATTTTGCCACATTCTAAATACGTGGCTGATTTATTCATACATATTAATGGTCATTCCGCAGGGGCCTAAAGCTGCATGGGAGTCAGGGCAAGGCTGCCTCTTTGGTATTTCAACTGGTATTGATTAGCTCTATCAACTGTGGGGGAAAGGTCAAAATGAAGGCCTTCAAAATGTATTGGTACTATCTCTGGTCTGTCAAACACTTTGAATAGTTGTGGTGTGATATTTAAGGAGAATAAAGTTGAATTTCAGGGCTTGCCATTGCCATTAAAGACAAAGTCAACAGGAGTCTTGGCTTTACCTGGGTACAGATTCACTTGAATACTCAGTACCTGAGGCATCTGACCAGTATCACTTTGCCAAACCAAAGAGCAGCTGCAGTACAGTAGTTATTGAACGTGAACACGTTTACAGAGTTTAGTTCCATCTTTACATGTGGATGAATTTTAAAAACCTTCTTACATATGGAATGGTTTTGGTCCAATGTGTCATAGGTGAATTTAACTGTAAGAGTAGTTTAAATCAAATATGCAATGTTTACTTGAATTTTGTTTCTTTTAGAAAGATTTTGACTATGTTTACAGGATTGTTCAAATTAAAGATTATCAGACACCTGAGATGTCCATTCAGTAATCTTTAAAGCAAATGTATATTAAGGGCTTAGTGTTAGGATCTGTATATTTGGGGCACCGAATAGACAGTGACTTACAAATATGTTTTGCTTACATTTTGTTCTAGGACCAGCACTGCTATCAATGGAAACTATTTTTAAAATAACTAATCTGTTATTAAGAAATTAATCATATTTTTGCATTTCAGCCAAAATAAAGAACCATATCCGATAATTCGTAAGACATAGGTAATATGTAAGCCTGAAATCCATGTGTTTCATATGATCTGAACTGTATTTTCCAATCTAAATTAAAAATGCAATATAGATTCAGAAAGTTCCATATTTTTCTAATGACTTCACTTTATATTATTTTGTTGGGTTGCATAAAGAGGCAAGGAATTGTATTTGTATTAAAAGATTAAGAAAGCTATTAGTCAAGTTTATTATATTTGTACATGATTGCAGATGAGGCTATGCCCATTTAAAAGAAAAGATGGACACTATTTTAAAGTGATCTTTAATATGTTTTTATAGAAACAAATTTGAAATACGGTTTATTTTGGTTGTCTTTGCTTATCAAGTACTGTAAGTCCTGTATTTGTTTCTCATAAGTATAATCCTGGACCATGACTTAATGTTAACTCTTTGCTTTGTCTTTTGGATGGCCTAACCTACATTAACATGAAGGCTAAACATTTTTAAACTTTTTTTTCAAAAATCATAATAATGATTTACTTTATTAATAAACAAAATAAAGTCCTGAAAGAACAGTTTTTTGTTGTTGTTGTTATAAAGTGGTATTTACCAAATGAGAGAATAACTATTATTTTGGTCATCTTGAAAATTTGGTAAAATAGTGTTGAGAGAATTAGCTAATAATTTGGGAGTAACCACATCTAAGACAGGTACTATTTGAGTGCAGTGGTGTTTTAGTTTACGTAGGCCCGAGGTATAGATTGCTTTATTGAAAAGGATTTAAATTTGCTTTCACTGAGGGGCCCCTGGGTGGCTCAGTCGGTTAAGCGGCTGCCTTCACGTCAGGTCATGATCCCAGGGTCCTGGGATCGAGCCCCGCATCAGGCTCCCTGCTCAGCGGGAAGCCTGCTTCTCCCTCCCCCACTCCCCCTACTTGTGTTCCCTCTCTCGCTGTCTCTCTCTGTCAAATAAATAAAATCTTTTTTAAAAATAAATTAAAAAATTAAATAAATAAATTTGCTTTCACTGAACATAAATTGATTTTCAATTCAAAAGTCACTTTAGGATTTTAAGTACCTTTGAAACATTGTAAGAGTTGTTGAATTATGGTTGTCAAAATGCCCAATAATGGGTTTTATCTTGTGTAGAATTCTTTTCGACATTTGTGTTCTAATTCCCTTCCAAATCAACAAAGTTTTGATATTTGAGGCTGCTGAATAAAACAGGAAGGCTGTGAGAGGTAGGATTCCCAGTTTTTAGACTAGCAAAATTTCAAAGCATTCGCAGGAACCAGTAGAGGCCAGTAGAGATGAAGCAACCTTTATGTTTTGTTTTTTTGGAAAGCGGAGGGTAATTTAGAGCACTGTGTTTGGGGTAGGAAGGAAGATAGACTACTAACTGGCCAAAAGGCCATTTTGAGACCCAAAGCACTAATGACATCACGTTGGCTTTACTTTTCTCACTTCTCATAAGCTAACTTTTCGGAACCATTCTGGAAAAGTTGAGTGATGTTGGCCTCTTTTACCTGTCTTACACTCATGCACCCCAGAATCTAGAGGGATGAGAACTAACATTTAGTTTTTCTTCTAACAGGTTTTTATGGATGTTTTAACACTCCCGTGAAGTTAACCTCATTTTCTTTAACCCCTCCATATCAGTGCCTTCCATCTGATATAGAGGATTTAAGTGCTGTTTCCACTCCTTAACTTACCACCTGTTGTTCTTCAAGCAAGAATGTCACCTCTCAGCCCATTCTCCAGTAAGGTAATTCTTTTCATCCAGGATTTCCAATCCAGTAGCGTGCTTCCATCACACTTCCCCATGACTCCAAACCAAGGTAGGGCTCTGTGCTGCCCAAAGGACCACACTATTATTACTAATTTAATTTAGCCATATATTGGTCACACATACTTTCAAGTCAACTCCCTAGATTATAAATTCTTGAGGACTTTTTTTTTGGTACTAACTACCCACAAAATGAACACTGAAGTTCAGAAAAGAATTGTAAGGAATTTTGTGTTCATTACTCTGTCATGTCCCAAGTTCTCAAAGAAAAGTGAGCATCATAGCCTATAAAATTATCCCAAACTTGAAAAAGATTTGTCAAACAATCTTTGACACATTTTAGTGGAAGTCTAAATTTATGGTGCAGTATCATTGCAGAGCAGTTTGGCAATATCAAGTTTTCAAATGCCCATATTCTCTGACCTACTTTGGGGAATTCCATAGATTTACTTCTACACTATGAGCAGGACATAAAGATATTAGTTGCAGAGCTGTTTGAAACAACAGAAGACTGGAAACAGCATGTCCCACCGCCATGTATGGTGGCAGAATGCAAGAGAATATCTGAAAGGATACACGATGAACTATTAGTAGGGTTGCCTCCAGAGGAAACGAGGGGCCAGGAGTAGGTTACATTTCACCGTTTGCCCTTTCATACTATTTTATTTTTATGTTGTGTGTACATGTTACTTTTAAAAAAAGAAAAATGGGTTAGGCATTCTATAGATCAGTGAGGGAGAAATAGGTTGAGGTGATGCTGGACCTGCGTGCCAGCCATTTGGGAAAAAATGAAGTTGCTGTATCCTTCACACCCTACATCAGGACAAATTCCAGTTGGCTCATGAACTTAACATTAGAAAATGAAAACAAATACTGCAGAAAAAGAATGGGCAACAAGTTCTATAATGGGCTAGGAAAGGTACTTCTCAGTGGACACAGTACTGGTGGTCATGAAGAAAAACAGATTTGAGTACATGCAAATTTAAGAGGAAAACTAGAACTAATAGGAAAAAATGGAGGTAGAACAAGAAGAAATGCACAAAAGAAATAGGGATCAATAATAGCATATAAAAAGATGCTTGGCTTCATTAATTAAGGAAATACAAGTGAAAACACCGATGAGATTATTTTTGCCTAAGATAGGCAATAGCCAGTGTTGCTGAGGATGTGGGCAAAGAAGCATTTTGGTGGGAATGTAAAATGGCTTAACTTCACTAAAAAAGTAATTTGGCAATATATGTCCAAGTTTCACTGTGCATAATCTTAGTACTGGCCACTGTACTCTTAGGAGTTTATATAGAGATATGCACATAAGGCTGAGTGTTTGAGAGGCTTTTGGAAAAGCAGCACATGTTCCTTTATAGGGAATCAGCTAAATTATGTTACTCTTTTCCGGAGACTACAATGAAGCCATTTAAGGAAGGTTTTGTATAGCTATATACATAAAAATTGTATCTCCATGGGAAAGATCTGAAGACATTACATATATAGTATGATCCCACCTAGAGCTTTCAAAGTACATGTTGCGTACCTGTGTGTTCAAACTCAGCCTATTTGTTGAGCACCTGCTCCAGAGGATGGGTGAGTGCTGGGACCAGAGGGAGCATAGAGCTGCAGCCTGTCCTGCCTTCCAGGGCTGACTTGGGGAGGGGGGGGGTGGGCACCTGCCCCTACCTCCTGGCTGCTGGGGGAATATGGGCACCCAGGACCTCTACACTGAGATGGTAAGGGAAACTCCTAGGCCAGAATCCCGGAGCCCAGGCAGGCAGAGTGAGGGCCCAGGACATCAGCAGGCCTCTGGGCTTTCTTGGTACAGGGGACGAAAAATGCCAGCTTATAAGGTGCCTCGTTTGGCTGCTCGGAAGTGACCACCTCTTTGGAAGATTTACCAACTATAAACCTGTGCATATAGTGTGGATAAGCTGCCGTAAGCCTTTCCCTCAGCCTTTTAAACTTCAAGCCCTTGTTGGCAACATGTGGCCTTTCTAGATGCAGAGAAGCTGTCAACATATGCTGAAAGTATGTTTAGAGAAACAACTTGTTTGTGATCATCTTTTTGTTAAAATTCACTCAAGAGACACATCATCTGGAAATGACTTTTGGAAATGCAATCTCTACATCACGTTTTGGATTCACGTCCACATTTGTGTCCAGAGTTGGAGGAAAGGAGAGAAGACAATGAGAGGCAGGGAAGGGTTTCCCCAGAACGTGTGTGTTGGAGCCATTTTCTGGATGTGTGCTGTCACTCAGCACTCCTGTATATAGTGTATATAGTGATTAAACTTCAGTCCTTCATTAAAGTATGTAGCTTTTCTAGATGTTTAGATGTGCTCATCATATTTAACAGTAGATATAGAAAGATGGGGTTAATATTTCGCTCTTAGATTTTCTTTCTAATAGAAACACTGAACCACTCTGAAAAATAATTTATACTTTTCACTGAGTAGATGGAGGAGACTGAGAAGGGAAAATGCACATTTCCTGCAATGTTGCTGTATATGTGGTGTATACAATAGAAAAGGGTATGCTCTGATTTCATATGACAGATAGAGGGTTGATAAATACTTTGTATACTTTCTTGGTTAAATTCGTAAGAAAGACTTATGAACAATACTTTTAGAAGTTATATTCTTAATCTACCTCTGGAGTACAACATGCCTCTATTTTGTCCTTTAGTTAGGTTGGGAAGACAAAAAAGTAAGGAAAGATTTTGCCAAAATGTCATATTTTGGAGACCCTTTCAGATTATAACCATTCCTCCCCATGTGAGTTTTACTCCAAACAGCTCTGTGCAGAGTGAACTTTGTAGGTCCATATTTTAACATCTAGTCTTTCTAGACACTATGAAGTGAAGATGTTTGTTACACATAGTAAAATAATGTGTTTTTTATACCTTTTTTTTTTTTTTTTTGGTTGTTAAATTCAAAACCTAATGTCCTGTGATGGAGTTTATTTAAAAAAAAAAAAGGACTATCTTCTGGAACTGATGTTGTTAATCCATCTCTGAGCTATATCACATTTATGAACTCTTTACTGGAAAAGTTACAAAAGAATGTATGAAAGGAAAGGTCCTGTGCCATCTGTTCATTTTTAGAAAACACTCCAAATTATACTTCATTCCATATGTGTGGGGGCTTTGGGGGTTTTTGTTGTTTTGTTTTTGGTTGTTAAATGATCCTTTTTTTTTTTTTTTAAGATTTTATTTGTTTATTTGAGAGAGAATGAGATAGAGAGCATGAGATGGGGGAGGGTCAGAGGGAGAAGCAGACTCCCCACCGAGCAGGGAGCCCGATGCGGGACTCGATCCAAGGACTCCAGGATCATGACCTGAGCCGAAGGCAGTCGCTTAACCAACTGAGCCACCCAGGCGTCCTGTTAAATGATCCTTTATTGAAATGCTTTCCTTGTAGTTCTTAACCAGCGGGGCATTCCACACACGTCCCATTGACATCATCTATGATGTCATGAGGGTGGCGGCCATCCACACTGCAGCCCACAGACCGGGCAGTCCCCAGGATCTCTTTAATGGTTCCAGACAATTCTCTGGCTAAAGATTGGTGCCACATCTGTCGGGCATTGCTGACAATCTCATCAAAAGTGATATTTCCACTGTGCTTCACGTTTTCTTGCTTCTTTCTGTCTCTTGGCAGTTCCTTGAAGGCTTTGATAATCAGGGCAGAGGCAGAAGGTACCCCTTCAATCTGGACCTGTCTGTTCTAAATGCTCAATCTCACCGTCATCCTCAGACCCTCCAATCACCAGTTGCCTTGATAATGTCATCACCAACCTTTTTTTTGGAGACAGACCCAGGGGGCTGATCTTAGGAGCCAGGGCAGACGTGACACCAACTTCCCCACCAGTGCACCTCAGGTACACAAGTTTGATCTCACTGGAGTCGGACTTAGGGGTTGTGATGGAGGTGGCTGGTGTTGGAGGAACCCGAATTCAGGATGACTGAAGAGTGGCACTGTGGCCTCCTCAGAACCAAAAACCAAAAGGTCCATATGTGTTTGTAGTGGATGAAATTAAGTTTCATGGGGCGCCTGGTAGACTCAGTCGATGAAGCGTCTGCCTTCGGCTCAGGTCATGATCCCAGGGTCCTGGGATCGAGTCCCGCATCGGGCTCCCTGCTCGCCGGGGAGTCTGCTTCTCCCTCTCCCTCTGCTGCTCCCCGTGCTTATGTTCCCTCTCTCAAATAAATAAAATCGTAAAAAAAAAAAAAATGAAGTTTCTTGTTTTGAAACACCCTAGATGTCTTGGGTGATGACACATGATATAGAGCTAGTGCAATAACATTTTATAAATATCTTTCTGCTTAATTTTATGTAAAATTGGAGAAATATTTTATAGGTAGAATTGTTAAACCACTTTGAGAAGTACACATTTGGTACTTGTTCATTGGTTTGTGAGTGAGATAAAAGGCAGTACAAAGTTGAGGTTCTACAAATGTGTTTCTATGTAGATTATAGCTGCAGATTGATCTGTATCAATCAGCATTTTATATAGCTATAGTTTATAGATACACTGTTAAACAGTTAAATGGAAAACATGCTTTCTTGCTGATACTCTAGTAGTATATAGGTCAAGTAATGATCAGTCTTAGAAGCATTCAATTATATATTCTGTGCTTTATTGCTTAATGTCTTATTTTATACTGATTATTAAAAGAGAAGGGACTCTTCTAATTGAAATATTTACAGGGGCCTTATGTTCTGTCCTGCTTCTAAGATGAAACATTTTATTCTCCTACCAAAGACTAGACTACCTTTCTTTATTAACTGAGCTGATGATGTTCACTCATACTGATAAAAATGCTAGTGCTTCCAAACTTTGACACAGGACATTATTCCTGACAAATTAAAAAGTGAGATACAAAACCATGTGTATGATCCTCAGTCATGTAAAAAAATGTATATGCCTGGAGACTGTGCTCTGTTTTGTGGGTTATAAGTGATTTTGTTTTGGGATGCCTGGGTGGTTCAGTCGGTTGAGCGTCCAACCCTTGGTTTCAGCTCAGGTCATGATCTCATAGGTGGTGGGATCGAGCCCCAGGTCAGGCTCCAGGCTCAGCGGGGAGTCTGCTTGAAGATTCTCTCTCCCTCTGCCCCGCCCCCTGCTCAGCACTCTCCCTCTCTTTCTCTAAAAAAATAGAAATCTTAAAAAAAAATAAGTGAATTTGTTTTATTATCTAATTATTTTTCAGTTTTCTATGATGAGCACATATTGCTTTTAAATTTGCAGGGAAAAACATATATAAAAGCATTGAAGGAGCTGGAAGGAAGCACCCAAACAGTTGGGAAAGGGGGAGGAGTCAGCAGAGCAGTAGTGAGGGGATCTTCTGTGTTTTGCTTTGTATGTTATATACTACATGAATCTTTTTTAAAGATTTGTTTAATTAAGAGATAGCGGGGGGATATCTTATTTACCATCATACCTCCCATGCCTAAAAATAGTGCCAGTCACATAGTAGGCACTCAGTAGTTTCTCAGTGTGATTCCCTACATAGAAAACAATAACTGTGCAGACATGGAGATCTGGAAGGATATTATTTTTGTAACCAGGAAAAAAAAGTTCAGTCGTACCTTATGACTGGAAGGTTATTTTCCAGTACCAATGCCAGGCATTGATGCAGGAGTTCCGGTGGTGGGAACTGTGCCTGAGAAGTATGCAGCTGTGTGAGTCGTCTGTACACAGATACACATGACAGCATCGAAACAGCTAATTAGCCATAATAAAAGATATTAAATACTTAATGGATATATCCACCCTCTGCAATACTGTGCATTTTTTTTTAAGTAAAAAGAAGTATCTATATAGACTGACAGGGAAGGTCCATGATACATTGCTGAGTAAAAAAAGCAAGTTCAGACTATCAATACATGCAACAACTCCAGTAGATCTCAAGGAATTACTCTGAGTGAAACAAGCCAACATAATTCCGTTTATATAACACTCTTGAAATAACAAGCTTATAGAAGTGAAGAATAGATGAGTAAGGTTGTCAGGGGTTGGGAAGTAGAGAATGGAGTTATAAAGGGAGAGCATGAGAGAGCCCTGTGGTGATGGCACAGTTCTGTACCTTGATTGTGGGGGTTACACAATTCCACATGTGACAAAATTGCATAGGAAACTATACACACTCACAAGTGAGTGTGTGTAAAACCGTGAAATTGGAGTAAGCTCTAGGTTGTACCAGTGTTGCTTTCCTGGTTTGATAATGTACTATAGTTATATAAGATACTACCACTGGGGGAAACAGAGTGAAGGATACACAGGGCCCCTTAGTACTTTTTTTTTTTTTGGCAACTTTCTGTGAATCTCTAATTCCAAATGATAACTTGGAAAAAAGTTGGAAAAAGCAAGTTGCAGAACAAAGTGTATAGTATGATTCCTTTTTCTTTTTTCTTTTTTTTTTTTTAAGTATGTTATGGGTGGCTCAGTCGGTTAAGCATCCAGCTCTTGACTTCAGCTCAGGTCATGATCTCAGGGTCATGGGATTGAGCCCTAGGTCAGGCTCCACACTGAGCAGGGAGTCTGCTTGAGGATCTTGTCTCCCTCTGCTCCCCCCAGCTTGCTCTCTCTCTGTCTCTCTCAAAACTAAATAAATATATCTATAAAAAAATAAATGTTATACACAACATGCACATGTGTTTGTATGTCCGTAAGTTTTATATGCATAGGAGAACACCTAAAGGGTAGACAGCAAATTGTTCCTACTACTTAGCCCTGGGGACGAGGAGGGTAAGTGGGAGTGGGCTGACACAGGAGGGAAGATTTTCACTGGTTCCTCCACATGTTTGCCCACTGTTTAGACTTTTTTCTCAATGGACTTTTATATTATACTTTGATATTATTTTATTAACCAATAAGAAATTTTGTGAGTGGTGCTTTTAAAACAGGAGGAAGAGAGGCTGTAAGAATGGCCAAGAAGTTATCACCTCCCTTTTTAAATAATGAAATCTAAACATCACAGGAATCACCTCAGTAAAATTCCTGTGGCATCAAAATAAATACAAAGTAACATCTGCTTCTTAGAAATTTCAACAAACTTTAGTTGTCAACATAAAGAGCACAGTCAACAGAAATATCCTTGACTGTGGAGGTAAAGCTACCTGGCTAGAATCAGACTTGTGTGCCCTAAGGCTTTCAGGATTTGCACTGACACCACACATAATGCTCTTGATTTCAGTTAGGGACAATTTATTGTACATAGTATAAGAGGAATTTAAGACTGTGGCTAGATATAAAGTTAATGTGAAACAATAATATACATGGTCTTTATTGTGCTGCCATACAGATCACTCACACGGGCAAATTATTCATGTTCAAGTTAAGGTATAAGGAAGGAAGAAAAATGGAATAGAAAGTCTTCCTTTTTAACAACACCCTTTTTAAAGAAGAACAAAAAGGACAGCAAGTAAGAAAAATAATATGAGGAATCAATGCTTTAGAGTTTTCTGGCTTCTGAAAGGAGAAAATGTGAGTTTCCACAATGGAGAAGGCTAGTGAGAAAATAGATGCTTTGAGGTGGAACAGAGAGTTTGGTTTTGAATATCTTAACTTTGGGATAACATCTAGATAAAGATGTCAAATAATGGGATGTTTCAATCTGGAGCTTATAAGAGATATCACAAATTTTGTGCATCAGATCTATAGACTGGAAATGATCACCATTAATGGCAAATGTGTAGATAAGTATGTAAAATTCTATTTTATTATCTTAATTTTTCTAAAAGCTGTGCTTGTTTAAAACAAAAATTATAATGCTGTATTGTGAGATTTGTAACATTAAAAGCACAAAAAAACGGGTTGGTAAATGGAACTATACAGTTGTAATGAAAGTAGTATAATATTAACTCTAAGTAGACTGATAAAGATGTATTTCATAATTCCTGGAGAAACCACTAAAAAATACTGTAGAGCGATACAACCTAAAAGTGAATAGAGGAGCCAAAATGGAATAATAAGAAATGTTAACCCAAAAGAAATCAAGAGAGAAACTGAGACACAAAAACCAAATGAGACTAATAGAAAACAAATAGCAAAAAGCAGACCTTAATCATAATTTAAATGTAAATATACTAAATACTACAAAGATAATAATTGTCAAATTGGATTTTTTTTTTTTAAAGCAAGACCATAGGGGCATCTGGGTGGCTCAGTCACTTGGGCGTCTGACTCTTGATTTCAGCTCAGGTCATGATCTCAGGGTTGTGAGATCCAGTCCGGCATCGAGCTCCATGCTGGGCATGGAGCCTGCTTAAGATTCTCTTTCTCCCGGGGTGCCTGGGTGGCTCAGTTGGTTAAGCCACTGCCTTCGGCTCAGGTCATGATCCTGGAGTCCCGGGATCGAGTCCCGGGATCGAGTCCCGCATCGAGTCCCGCATCGAGTCCCGCATCGAGTCCCGCATCGGGCTCCCTGCTCGGCAGGGAGTCTGCTTCTCCCTCTGACCCTCCCCCTTCTCATGCTCTCTCTCTCTCTCTCATTCTCTCTCTCAAATAAATAAATAAAATCTTTAAAAAAAAAAAAAAAAAGATTCTCTTTTTCCCTCTCCCTCTGCCCCTCGCCCCACACTCAAGCATGCACTCTCCCTCTCTCTCTAAAAAAAAAAAAAAAAAGCAAGACCCTATTATATGATTATATCCTGTCTCTAAGAAATGTATTTTAAACACAAAGAAAAAAACTTCAAAGTAAAAGGATGAAAAAATATATGTATGTCATGCAAACAGCCATCAGATAAAATATACTTTCATAATGATAAAAGATCAATACTTCAGGAAGGCATAATACTTAAGGATTTATATGTGCCTAATTACAAAGCTTCAAAATAATGTAAAAACAACTAAAGGGCGAAATAAACAAACCTAGAGGCATAGTTGCAATATTTTAAATCCCTTCCTTTATAACTGGTAAAATGCCTATGCCAAAAGTCAGAATATAAAGAGTTGAGTGACGCTATCACCCACCTTGACCTAACTGACATTTACAGAACAATACACCCATTATCCTTAGAATGCACTTATCTCTGGGGCACCTGGGTGGCTCAGTCATTAAGAGTCTGCCTTCAGCTCAGGTCATGATCCCAGGGTCCTGGGATTGAGCCCCATATCGGGCTCCCTGCTCTGCTGGGAGCCTGCTTCTCCCTCTCCCACTCCCCCTGCTTGTGTTCCTGCTCTTGCTATCTGTCTCTGTCAAATAAATAAATAAAATCTTAAAAAAAAAAAGAATGCACTTATCTCCATTAACACATGGGATGTTCACTAAGACCACATGGTGAGCCATAAAAAAAATTTCAAAAATTTTGAAAGACTAGGCAGACCTGGGTGGCTCAGTCAGTTAAGCATCTGCCTTCAGCTCAGGTCATGATCCCAGGGTCCTGGGATTGAGTCCCACATCGGACTTCCCTGCTCAGCAGGGAGCCTGCTTCTCCCTCCCCAACCCCACTATGCTCTCTCTTGCTATCTCTGTTGCTATCTCTGTCTCTCAAATAAATAAAATCTTTAAAAAAGATTTTTTTGAAATATTGAAATATTTTTCAATGTCTTATTACCGTGACAGAATAAAATTAGAAATTAATAGCACTAAAACATCTAAAAAATTGTTACCCTTCTTGCATGGTTACATATTTATGTAGATACTAGCAGAAACACTAGTCCCCCCATGCCTAACACCTTGCAAACAATGCAGGTCAGATGGTGTAAACCTACATATGTGGTGGAACATTGTACCATCAAACAGGAATCCTGAAATATGAATTTCTCCACTTCCATAGAATTTCTGTGCTCCTAAGAGAGAAGACAGGATCCTGGGTCCTCACCCCTTGGAATGTAACAATATTTCCCTGGAGGGGAGACTAATAGGAAGATAATGTTCAACATCACTCCTGAGACTCCTGAGGTCTGGGTTATTCAGTCACCCTTTCCATTAGCCTTGCCCCCTACTCTGGAATGTAACCATTTGGCTCCCAAAAAGATAAGAGAAGATTTATTATCTTCTGGGTGGCAACAATTAGTTCTACCTTTCAGGCACAAATGACTGCAGAGTGATAAAAGTAAACATCTTAAAATCAATTTTATAGCTCAAGAGGTCAAGACTTTGCAAGAACACTGAAAAATTCAGGAACAATTTGTCTTTTAATAGCACATAAATATATCAATGGGTGAAAAAAAATCACAAAGGAAATTAGAAAATATTTTGAACTGAATGATAATGAAAATACAAAATATCAAAACCTGTCTTGTGCAACTAATGCAGTGCATACAGGAAATTTACTGATTTAAATGCTTACATTTAAAAAAGAGCCTTCAAAGTTGATCTGTCTAAATTAAGGGGCCAGAAGAAGAAAAGCAAATTAAACTCGAATGAAAAAAAGGTAAAGATAAAGAGAGAATAATGATGTAGAATATAGAATATAGAAAAACAGTACAAAAACTAACAGAACCAAAAGTTCTCTGGAAGAATTTCTAAAGTTGATCAGTAAGGTCTTGATCAATACACAAATTACTAATATCAGTAATGAAGAGGATACTCACTACAGGTCCTACTGATGTCAAGAGAATCGAAAGGGAATATTATGAACATGATGGCAATGAATTTGATAACTTAGATAAAACAGATAAATCCCTTATCAAAACTGACAAGATGAGGGGCGCCTGGCTGGCTCTGTTGGTTAAGCTTCTGCTTCCGCTTGGCTGGGGTCATGATCCCCAGCCCAGCTATCAGTCCTCGCTGCTCCCTGCTCCCTGCTCAGCGGGGAGCCTGCTTCTCCCTCTGACCCTCCCCCTGCTCGTCCTTTCTCTCTCTCTCTCAAATGAATAAAATCTTTAAAAATTTTTTTAAAAAACCTGACAAGATGAAACAATCTGAGTAGCAAAGAGTGAATATGTAATCAAAAACTTCTACACAACTTCCAGTTCCAGAACAAGATTAAATAAAGGTATTACTTCCACTACATGCAACCAAAATTTCTGGATATTATGTAGAAGTAGTGTCTGAAAAGTGAAGAGAAGGCAGACCATTTGGGAACCTCAGGACCCAAGAAACAACATGGCAGTTCCCTAGGTTTTCTTTTTGTATCCGATATTGGGTGTTGGAGAAGCTGGCAGTGTGGAAACCCCAGTGGGAGCAGACACAAAAAGCCTGTTCTCTAGCCAAAAGAGCAAGAAGGAGCAACCTACCAAGACAAAACATTTAGACAGTAACTCCCTTATTGAGTCAAACAGCACACTTACACACACACACACACACACAAAAGTGCAGCCCTCTGCTTACCCTATCAGCAAAGCCCAGTGAGGAGCCTAGATTTCTATTCTCAATCGGCTGTCATGAGGTGCCCCCCCTTTCCTGCTGGGGCGGCATAAAAAGAAACCAGGTGGTGAACTGGCGCTTTCACCACCATCCAATAATAATGAAACCTCACCTCTTACACAGTGACATTAGAGACTACAGGGGGAGGGGGCAATAAGGAGGGACCTCTTCAACAACCAGAGGTGGTGTCAGTGAAAGCCTCCTGGGGATCCCAAAATACAGCCTCTACCCAACAATAATGAGGCTCCCTAATGGAGTGTCAAATGGAAAACCTAGACTTTCACACCCATTTGGCAGAAATGAGACCATACCTATTTCCTTAGGGGGGACAGTGTCAGAGGGGGCCTGCTAAAACAGAAGATTTAAGTAAGACCCAAGGTCACATAATACCTAAAATGTCCAAGATACAATAAAAAATCGATCATACCAAGAACCAAAAAAACCTCATCTTGAGAGAAAATACAACAGGCACCAACACTGACATGTTGAAGTTACCTGACAAGAATTTTAAAGCAGCCATCATAAAAACGTTTCAGTGAACAATTATATATATTCTTGAAACAAATGAAAAATAGAAAGTCTCAGCAAAGAAATAGAAGATACAAAGAAGAAACAAATGGAAGTTATAGAACTGAAAAATACAATAACCAAAATAGAAAACATAATGGATGGGCTCAACAGTAGAACGGAGGGAACAGAAGAAAGATTTAGTGAAGGTGAAAACAGAATAATAGAAATTACCAATCTGAACAACAGAAAATGAACTCAGGGTCAGGGGAGGAACGGGGAGAACAGAGCCTCAAGGACCTGTGGGACTGTGTCAAAAAATCTAACATTCCCATTATTGGAGTTCAAGAAGAAGAGGAAAAAGAGTGTGGGGTTGAAAAAGTATTTGTAAAAGTATGATCGAAAATTCTCCCAAATTTGACAAAATACATAAACATGCAGATTTAGGAAGTGAGTGAACCCCAAACAATAAAAAATCCAAGCCAACACTGATCATAATCAAACTTCTGAAAACTAAAAGGAAACAATTCTCAAAAGCAGTGAGAGAAACGACACCTTACCTATAGGGAAAACAAGTTGAATGGCAGTGGATTTGGATTTCTCATCTGAAAATAAGAAGCAAGAAGGAAGTGACACATTTTTCAAGTGCTGAAAGAAAGAACCATCAATGCGGAATCCTCTATCTGGTGAAAATATTGTTCAGGAATAAAAGGGAAATCAAGACTTTCTCAGACAAATGAAAACTAAGCGAATTCATGGTGACAGATCATGGCTACGCTTGTGGTGAGAGCAGCATAAGGTTTAGACTAGACATTGAATCACTATGTTGTATACCTGAAACTAATGTAACATTATGTGTCAACTATACTTCAATTTAAAAAAGTAAGTGAGGGGCCCCTGGGTGGCTCAGTCGTTAAGCTTCTGCCTTCGAGTCCTGATCGAGGGTCCCAGGGTCTTGGGATCAAGCCCCGCATCAGGCTCCCTGCCCCACGGGAAGCCTGCTTCTCCCTCTCCCACTCCCCCTGCTTGTGTTCCCTCTCTCGCGCTCTCTCTCTCTGTCAAATAAATAAAACCTTGCCAGCAGACCTACCTGGAAAGAATGCCTAAACAGTAAAGAAATGATAAAATAAGGATTCTTGCAACATCAGAAAGAAAGAAAGAAAGAAAGAATGAAAGAAAGAAAGAAAGAAAGAAAGAAAGAAAGAAAGAAAGAAAGGAAAGAAAGAAAGAAAGAAAGAAAGAAAGAAAGAAAGAAAGAAAGAAAGAAAGAAAGAAAGAAAGAAAGAAAGAAAGAAAGAAAAGAAGGAAGGAAGGAAGGAAGGAAGGAAGGAAGGAAGGAAGGAAGGAAGGAAGGAAGGAAGGAAGAGAAGGAAGAAAGAAAGAAAGATGGAAAAAGCAATAACTTAAGAGTTGGCTCCATGTCACATGTGATTGAAAAACTGGCTACAGAGGCCGTAACTACTAACATTTGGAGGTTCGTATCCAATAGGAATATGAAGTCTCTCTAACCCAGCACTCCAAGAAAATCATCATTGTACCCCATGGACTCTCAGTGGATCACATAACATTCCCTGAACCAACCTCAACTACAGGTGTGCAAGGTGCTCACTGGCTCCATTCTTGAGATGGAGGAAGAGCCCCACCTGCAGCAAAAGACTGAAAAAGGAGGGATAATTTCCTGGAGGAAAATCAG